TTGACGGCGTTGGTGTTGCTGCCCAAGCCCGCAGACTGGGCTCGATCCTTGGCCAAAGTGGACACCACTCCAGGCATTGTTCTCTTCTCGTGTGTTAAACACAAGCACACGGTGTGAAGACTCAGACTTGAGGAAGTGAGTTAAGTACCTTTGGCTCTCTCCTCCCCGCTCTAGGCTTTTTTTTTGAGGCGGAGTTTATTCAGTCTGTCCTGAATAAATTGTTGGAGATGCAAGATTTACAGAAAATTAAATGAAAATGTCCTGCTTAACTGACCACCAGCCAGGTGGGCAACTCTAAAGTTGTCCCAAGTATGAATTTAGACTCATTTAAGTGCATCTTAGTCAATGTCTATTAACAATTCTTCAGTCACTACAAACCACAACAACTACTACAACTGCTACCCCCACTGCTACTACTGCTAATATTACTACTATTAATCATAATAATAATTATTATTATTATTAATATTGGTGGTGGTATACATATATAGTGTTTAATAAATATTTCATTAACTCAAAAAAATAACCTTTCACAGTAGATTTATGGAGGAAAAGGAAGGAAATGGAGAAAAACAGCCTGAACATTGCCACGCACCACTGCCAGGTGCAGCAGTTCCTGGGAAGTTTCTTCTCCAGAGATTTTTTTCCAGAGAATGTTTATTTTATTTCAGTCAGTGAGTTTTGAAAGGGCAGAGGTGGTGGTGATTATAGATCCCTGATCTTATCTCTTAACAGGGCGTGACTTATCTCCATAAAAGCAATATGCCAGTCCAGTCCAGAGATTCACAACTGTTCAAAATGCATGTTTACATAGAAATATAGCTGAAGATCTTTTACACTGGCCACTTTATGAGCTTTATGTCCCTTATAGGTATAACGGACTATAGCACCATCTGTTCCTGCACAATTTATTAGCTCCCTCTACCCCATTCACCATTGGTCAGTTTTTGACCAAGGGACCGCAGCTGTCCAGATGGTATATGGGTGGTGGACCACTGGTACACATGGTAGTGGTCACAGTGGTGCTGGGATTTTAAATCCATCACTGTCACTGTTAGGCTGTGAATGGTCCACCACCCCAAAATATCCAGCCAAAAATGGTTCTGTGGTCATATGCGAATCCCTGTAGCTACATGGCCGTATGCAAAAGTTTAAACACCCCCAGGCACATGACGTTTTGCTAATTTTCCAAGTGAGAGTTAACACACCCTCTACAGAGAAGTCAAGGCTTTTTCAGAGCTTCATAAGACCTGTTGGCACTTATACATGTTGTGCTTTGAAAGATTTTGCATGTGTTCATATTTATTAATATGTTAAAAACACAATCCCATTTCCAAAAAAGTTGGGCGCGTCACTCATGCCATGTGCACTAATGCACCCCCATACCATCAGGAATACTGGCTTCTCGAGACACTGTGCCCCCCAACACAGTGTCCATGATTTCCAAAAAGAATTTGAAATGTTGACTTGACGGACCTCAGGACACTTTTCCACTTCTCTCAGTCCATTTTAAATGAGCTCGGGCCCAGAGAAGGTGGCAGCATTTCTGGATCCTGTTTATATATGGTTTCTCCTTTGCATTTTAGAGTTTTAACTTGCATTTGTGGATGTAGTGATGAACTGTTTTCACAGACAGTGTTTTTCGGAAGTGTTTCTGAGCCCATGCAGTGATTTCCACTACAGAATCGTGTCTGTTTTTAATGCAGTGCTGTCTGAGGGCCCAAAGATCACGGCCAGCAAATATTAGTTTTTGACCTTGTCCCTTACATACAGAGATTTCTCCAGATTCTCTGAATCTTTTATGATATTGTGCACCATAGATGATGAAAAGCAGAAGTTCTTTGCTATTTTATGTTGAGAAACGTTATTCTTGAATTGTTGCACTATTTGATCGTGCAGTCTTTCACAGAGTGGTGAACCCCTCCTCATCTTTACTTCTGAAAGACTCCGCCTCTCTGAGATGCTCTTTTATACCCAATCATGTTATTGACCTGTTGCCAATCAACCACCAGGTGTTTTTTTAGTATTACACAACTTTACCAGCCTTTTGTTGCTCCCGTCCCAACTTTTTTGGAACGTGTTGTTGGATCATGGATCCACTGTGAGCTTAAGTATGACAGTAGCAAAATATGCCCAGGAATGACTTCAGGTTAAGAAAGAAAATCTGATTTCTTAACTTTATACTTTAGGAAAAAGCAATTAGAAGTCAAAATTAAAACTTTTAAAAATTCTGATCTAAAAACTTAAGAATTCTCTTGATTGTCTGTGCTTCTAAAACTGTGACTTCTAATGAGTTTCACAAGATATAAGTGTTCAACTGTCATCAATTTAGCCAAGTCACCATATTTTTCAGGAAGGATTTTTCCTGTGGGCTGTTTTCTCCACCCTCAACCGGAGAAAGAATATTGCAACACACCTTTGCCATTTAAGGAAGTCACAGTTCCAGGGAAGTTTCTCCTCCAGAGAAATGTTTTTTCTTTTCCACAGAAATTTTTTGCCTGCTGTTGACTATCTGGTATGTGGGTGGTGGACCATTCTCAGTATAGCAGAGACATGATGAGCCTCATTCACAAAAATCATGCTGAAACAAAATTTATTGTTTTCTACATTGACTGTAGCACTTTAAATGTTGGATCCCTTCAGGGTTCTTCAAAGAGTCACTTAATGTAAGTAACTTGGCATATGGCTAGGCAAAAAAATTATGTTTAAATGCAATATTAATTACCTCACAGGCAACTTGAGACACAAACTTGGTTTTGTGTTGACACAGAATTTGATTTCCCACACCAACATGTTAAAAGACTTGTTGAAGCAACATTATTATCTACTCCTGATTGTGCAGATGTGATTTACAGATATGCATCTACTAATGCTCATAAATCTTTAGATTCAGTCTGTCATTCAGCTCTAGGATTCATCTCCCGCAACCTCTACAATACGGCAAGATGATACTCGAAAACAAGGGGTAGGGGTAAAAATAAGAAATAGGACTGGGCCCGTCTTGGGTTTTGGAACCCAAAGCTGGATTCTGTTCTATTTTCCATGTACGCCATACTTATGACACATCTTCAGAAAATCCCAGTAAAAATCAAACTAAACTTTAAACTCTCACTTTTTTAGCATTGCACCATTCCTGTAAGAGTGCCAACACACTAGACAACGCAAGGATGGAGCGGTACACGTATACACACGCAGGTCTGCCTAGAAGGAGTGCACACGGCTGGAGCGGGGTGGAGTTTGTAGAGGTTGAAATCCAATGGGAAACAAAACATTTGAATTGAATTCAGAACCATCAGCCAACTGTGTTTGCACACTGTGGAATTAGACCTCCGCATTTAACCCATCCATGCAGTGAAACACCCACATACATGCACGCTAGTGAACACACACACTAGGGGGCAGTGAGCACACTTGCACGGAGCAGTGGGCAGCCCTATCCACAGCGCCCGGGGAGCAATTGGGGGTTAGGTGCCTTGCTCAAGGGCACTTCAGTCATGGACTTTCAGCCGAGGGGATCGAACCGACAACCTTCCGGTCACAGGGCTGGTTCCCTAACCACGACTGCCCCCGTGCAGTGGACCAGAAACAAAGAAATACGGGCCTTCGAAAGAAAACTTTGGTGACGGCCAGATACAGAGCCGAGTAGACGACAGCCACGAAGGCAAAGATTTCATATAGAACAGGAAAGGAGTGCACAGCATCACTACTGTCCTCCATCTTGGATTTTCATCCGTCTTCTGCCTGCACGTTTCTATTGGTTGATGTGCCTCCACATCAGAATCTGTTGCAGCAAAAGTTGAAACGGTTTGAACTTTTTCGATGCTCGACTATGTGTTATTTCACCAAATACAGGCGCGATTCTAGCCCGACAGAGCTGACACAGCGTCCTAACTGAAATACAATGGGGGACCCTAACAGCCTCGCTATGAGGAGTATATATTCCTACTGTCCACTACTGCCTACTGGGACTGCTAAACTGAGCACCATTTGGACATTTGAAATTGCAGCATTTGAATACACAGAAAAAATATCACCAAGTTGAATGTCTTTCTTTGTAATGTCTTCACTTTAATATTAAGCAGCACTCCATAGCAAAATTACCAACTAAAAAAATTAAATAAATCACTAAGAGTTAATTTAACTAAATAGCAGAGTGGATTTTTTATCTGATCACTGGTTCCACTTTCCTAGACCCAGATGAAGCCCAGACATTAAGATGTTCTGTGGTGAATCATCACCGGCGTTGCAGTTTAGTCCAAGAGCAGGCCTAATCCATGCCCAGCAAACAGGCAAGATACTGTATTAGCTTCATGAAAACATGGGATATTTAGTGGACATGAGGGGCTAAAACTGCTACCTCTACAAACTGTTTCTTGTTAGTCTTTGTAAAGGCTTTAACAATAATACAACTTTCTTAAAGGAGAATTCCACCAATTTTTCAAAATTAAATCATTAAGATGTAAACAAAGGTATTCCAAATGCTCTGATGTGAAATGCACCATTGTAGAGACCCTAAAGAGCAGGTATTATTTGGGTGGTGGGTCACACTCAGCACTGCACTGACACTGACGTGGTGGTGGCAGCGTGTTAACGTGTGCTGCGCTGGTACGAGTGGATCAGACACACCAGTGCTGTCCACTCTATTAGACAGTCCTACCTGTTGGTCCACCTTGTAGATGTAAAGTCAGTGCTGATAGCTCATCTGCTGCTGCACAGTTTGTGTTGGTCATCCTCTTGTCCTTCATCAGTGCTTAGAGGACACTGTATGGCTGGATATTTTTGGTTCTTGGTCCAGCAGTGACACTGAGGTGTTTAAAACTCCAGCAGCACTGCTGTGTCTGATCCACTCGCACCAGTGCAACACACACTAACACACCACCACCATGTCAGTGTCACTGCAGTGCTGAGAATGATCCACCACCCAAATAGTACCTGCTCTGTGGGGGTCCTGACCACTGAAGAACAGGGTGAAAAGGTACAGTCTGTAATTGTAGAACTACAAAGTGCACCTATATATGAATGACTTTGTTTTTTCTTTTTTCCACAAATGAATTATGCAGAAACTTTAAAAATGGTGGAATTCCTTTTTAAGTTATGGACAAGCAGGGAGGTCAGATTTCTACATCATGACATCAACTAAATCTTGGCATTCATAACCTTTTCCTTGTTAGTTTTTGTAGAGAACATCCTCAACAGATTTACAGCCTAAACTAAACAAGGCCTATGTAGTGTATGCTTCTTTCAGATGACAGGTCAGTCGCACCTATCAGATCCAGTCCACTCCAGATATGAGGGAATGTAGTAACGTCAGTCTCTGAGATGAGAATACCCCTTTAAAATAAGGCTAGTGGCACAGTGCTGGATTATTTACTCTTAGTGTCATGCAGCAATGTTTATGCAGTTGTATATTCAGCCAAAGAGTTGACTCACTGTGATCATATTGCATGGTTTTAAGTATCTAAGATCATCTTGCATAGATAGGATATTCTTTCACGCATGAAGCAAAAACATACTAAGGTGTCTGAGGTGGCTTTACATATCGTTAAAGTGGATAAGGCAGTCCGTGCTGGGTCGAACAAGCATCTTTGGATTGGAATGATAAACAAAACGAAAGCTTTGAGGAGCTACTGTAGTGCTGCAGCTGCTCAGCCGTCCGATCTTCGGGATGAAGGGTGGACTCCCCGCTGATCCGACTCTCAACCGCACATGGTCAGGTACAGCCACTGTGTGTGACAAAGATGGTTACATGGATAAAAGGAAGCATGAAGGCACACAAGATTTACTGTATAATAATACTACATAACACTTTACATCAGGGCATCGACATCGCAAATGAACACAGTGCGTCCCAGAAGTGCAAACTTTGTCCAGATGTACGGTGGTCGAGAAGACCCAACAAACTGCAAATAAAAAACGAGCTGCAAAACTCAGAAAGCACTTTCATCAAAATGATGATACAGGCATTACATTTCATAAACGCGCTGCAAATACAGAAAACAACATGCAACTTCAGAAACGCTGCTAAGCCAGTCACAACACAGCCGAGGTGTTTCTGGAGGACACTCAGAGAGGACGGGTCTATTCAGACTTTTAAATTCTGGGCAGCACAAACACTCACCGGTAAAAGTGACTTTTATTTGAGTAGATCACTGCTATCACTGTATCGTAAGGGGAATTAGCTGTAGAGTGTAAGTGTGAACGTTTAATTAGTAATACCAGATTAACTACTACAGTACAGCTGTGACATGTCAGACAGCATACTAGCCAGCCAGGTTAACCATGAACTGGGGATGTGAGCGTCCACGGTGTGATCTACTTCTGTCAGTGATCTTCTGTCATAGATATTCCATCCCCTTTGAGCCCTTTGAGCTGTTTGAGTCTTCCAGAGACATTTCCCTTGTGTTGTGACTCACTTCCGTTGTGCTGTGTCTCACTTCCCTTGTGTTGTGGCTCACTTCCCTTGTGTTGTGACTCACTTCCGTTGTGATGTGGCTCACTTCCCTTGTGTTGTGGCTCACTTCCCTTGTGCTGTGGCTCACTTCCCTTGTGCTGTGGCTCACTTCTGTTGTGCTGTGGCTCACTTCCCTTGTGTTGTGGCTCACTTCCCTTGTGCTGTGGCTCACTTCCCTTGTGCTGTGGCTCACTTCCCTTGTGTTGTGACTCACTTCCCTTGTGCTGTGGCTCACTTCCCTTGTGTTGTGGCTCACTTCCCTTGTGCTGTGGCTCACTTCCCTTGTGTTGTGGCTCACTTCCCTTGTGCTGTGGCTCACTTCCCTTGTGTTGTGGCTCACTTCCCTTGTGCTGTGGCTCACTTCCCTTGTGCTGTGGCTCACTTCCGTTGTGTTGTGACTCACTTCCGTTGTGCTGTGGCTCACTTCCCTTGTGTTGTGACTCACTTCCCTTGTGTTGTGACTCACTTCCGTTGTGTTGTGACTCACTTCCGTTGTGTTGTGACTGGCTTTGCAATGTTTCTGAAGTTGCATGTTGTTTTCTGTTTTTGCAGTGCATTTATACATATATAAATGAAAACTGGTGTCGTCATTTTGATAAAAGTGCTTTCTAACTTTGCAGAGCGTCTAAACAAATTTGCAGCGCTTTGTAAAATGCAGCTTCCATGTTGTCACTGTGATGAAAGTGCTTTCTGCGTTTGGCAGCTCATTTTTATTTGCAGTTTGTTGGGTCTTCACGGCCACTGTACATAAACTATGTTCTTTATGCCTTACACACATACACCGTCTTGCCAAAAGTATGTGGAAACCTGACCACCACACCTATATGAACTTGTTGGACATCCCATTCCAAAATTAATATGGAGTTGCACCCCCTTGACTCTTCCATAAGATTTTGGAGTCTGTCTGCTGGAATTTGTGCCCATTTAGTCAAAAAAGTATTTGTGAGGTCAGGCACTTATCGTTGGACAAGAAGGCCTGGTTCATAATCTGCATTCCAGTTCATCTCAAAGGTGTTCTGTGGGTTTGAGGTCAGGACTCTGGAGACAGGCAGGACACTGAAGTTCCTCCGCACGAAATTCATCAAACCATGTCTTTATGGAGCTCAAAGGTTCTTCCCCAAACTGCTGCCACAAAGTTAGAAGCATATAATTGTCTAAGATGTCTTTGTGTGCTGTAGTATTAACATCACACTTCAGTGGAACTAAGGGGCCTGAAAAACAGCCCCAGCTCATTATCCCTCCTCCACCAAACTCTACTGTTGTCACCATGCATTCTGGTAGGTGGTGTCCTCCTGGCATCCGCCAAACCCAGATTCGTCTATCAGACCACCAGATAGAGAAGCGTGATTCATCACTCCTGAGAATGTTCCCACTGGTCTTTAATCCAGTGGCGGCGCTTTACACCAGTCCAGCCAACACCTGGCATTGCGCATAGTGGTCTTAGGCTTGTGTGCAGCAGCTCGGCCATTGACCAATTTCTCAAAGCTCCCAAAGCACAGTTCTTGTGCAGTTTGGAATGCTGAGCTGTTGCTCCTACATGCTTCCATTTCACAGTATTAGTACTTATCGTTGACTACGGCAAATCTAGCAGGGCAAACTGACGCAAAGGTGGCTTAAAGTCATCGAGCTCTTCGGTACGACTCATTCTACTGCCAGTGTTTGTCTATGTAGACTGCAAGGCTTTGTGCTTGAGTTTATACATCTGTTTATACAATGAGTGTTGTTGAAACAGCTGAAGTCAATAATTAGAAGGGGAGTCCACATACTTTTGGCCATATAGTGTATATGAGATATACATTCAGCCACTGTTGCTCTCACTGAAACTGGAAACTGTACTCACTTCGTGGAAATTACATGATTTACATGTTCTTGTGAACTCTGCATTGACACAAAATTAATAATATCACCTTAAGGGTCAAATTTGAGACAAATGCAAATCAATCACAGTTAATTATTTTGCTCGTATGACAGCCCTAACTTATACACAAGCTTTTCCAGGAACAAATGATCAGCAGGCTGATGGGCAGAAGAAAGCTTCTGAAACAAGAACACCTGTTTGGATGATTCAAAGCATTCGACAAGCAGCCCTTCCATGACACCTGCTGGATTATAAGCAATACTGCACTAACTGTTGTCCTGTGTTTCAGCTGGGAGAGTTATAAATGCTTAGACCAGAGCACATATAAAGAGGCTTCGTACTCTGCAATCACCTGAAAGTTTCAATGGCCAAAACCTTTTTCAATCTGCAAAATTACAACTTTACAGGAGAGGGAAAAACCTTCTTTATTTTTAATGTAAGTCTATGGAACCAGACCTTTTTCTATGTAATTTTTGGCCATTTCTTTTGATCCGTTCATCATGAAATGTACAGACAATGTAAAGCGCAACAGTCATTTTCAAATATTGTCAAAAACTGAAAAATGCCAAAAATGGAGATATGAGGTTCTGTTTGGGGTTTTCTGCAATCGCCTGAAAGTTTCCTTTAGAAGAGCCACTGCTATAAAAACTTGGGCATTCAGAGACTTTATCAATTAACCCATCAGTGGTTCTGCACAGGTCTGTGTAAAACATTCAATACTCACTTCTGAGAGGTTAAGCTCAGCCACTCCAGTTCCATCTCTGTCCAGTTGCTGGAAGGTTCCTGTTTAAAAAAAACATCATATTTAATAAACCACTAATACCGTGAGCTGTTGACGCCACCTCCTTAACCAGGACGTGATGTAACGTACTAAGTTAATTAGAACTGTTACATACTGAACATGGCCTCCAGCTTGACCAGGCAGCAGATGAAGTTATCAAAGTCGATCATCTCTTTGTCAGCGTATCGTGCCACCAGCACCTGGTTCAGCTTGTTGTTGAGCTTAAAACCTGAAACATGAGAAAAGAGAAATATATGAAACCGGAGAAACCTACATATCCATGTGCACCACTGTGAGGACCTAAAGATTCAAATGATGCAATGGATTCAGAGACAAACCCTGAAACAGACAACGATGGAGATGTTGCCTTACCAGCTGATTCCAAGGCCAGACGCATCTCATAGGAGCTCATGTTGCCTGACTTGTCCAGATCAAACTGCCGAAAAATTCCCTACAAAGACAGAAAAGGAAACAGAGTGATACACAGGTCAGAAAGCAGGACATTCACATTTGGTAAGGATGGAAAATTCCCATACAGCAGATTCTACAAAGGAGAGTTTTCTCAGTTAGCTAGATAACTTAAAGCAAAGTTAGGGATGTTCCTTAGCTCTTCTTCTACTGGACAATACAGACGTTTGGTCTAAACAAACAGACTAAATCCCACTTGATGAAATCAGAGCCTAAAACACCAGACTAAAGGACGGCTTCAGACCTCGTGCGGTCAAACCGGTCACACTTGAAACACACATCTGACTGTGAATTGACAAAGACACTCAAACACACATTTTGGACTGTTTAACTGAATCTGACCCCCAAGCAGGCTAATCAGATTACTGTTTACCCTGTTTGCATTTTGTTGTTTATTTACTGCACTGCATGTCATTCTTAATAAGTTTCTATTTGCCCACTTCAACACTGTAAATACAGTGAATGGACTGAACTGAATATGCAGAGAATGACACTGTAAACTGATTGCAGTACAATCTGATTTTCTACTACACAGTACTGTAAAGAATACTTTCTGCATACTTTTTGTACTGTTAGGATAAAGCTGTATGCAAAAGTTTGGGCGTCCCTGGTCAAATTACGTTTTGTTCATTTTCTAAGTGAAAGTAAATGAACACATTTTCTACAGAGAACACACCTTTGCACATTTTGATGCACAGTTACTGTGAACTTTGTTGAATTTAGCATATTGGGGGAAAAACACAAAATGTGGCAGGAAAGTTATGGCAGATTTAATAATGTTTTATGTTTTTCCAATACGTTAACCTCAGCAAATAATTAGAAATTGCGCACTTAGAAAATCAACAGAACTTGTACTTTAACCAGGGATGTTTTTGTACTGTACGGATACCTTTTGCACAAATTTGTCGCTGTGATATTGTGTTAATTGCTACAGTACTATCCATGAGAACAGCAAATGAATTTCATGTCATTTACTGTACACTATATGTAAATGTAGAGTGTATGTATATATATATATATATATATATATATATATATATATCGCTGTTGTCAGAACAAAACCTTGTATCTCCACAACATGTATCTTCTCAACATAAATAGCTGAGAACTTTTGCTTTTCATCATCTATGGTACATAATAACACACACACACACATATATATATATATATATCCTATCAGTAATATAGGTCCTAACACTGCTCTGTACAGCAAAAAATCAATTGCTCTCACCAGCCACTTCCGGATCTTATTCCACAGAATCTGGAACTCCACCAAGCCCAGACGAGCACTTCCGTCTTTCTGAGATTCACCTGAAGTCAAGGACACTTTGTAATCAGAGGTCTGTCTGTAAGATTTAAATGCAGTTCTCTAATAAAGTCAGAGTTGCTGTAGTGAGAGACCACCGGTTGGTTGCGTTTGTAAGAAAGGATACATCCATGAGGGCCACCATACACCTGCACGCCTCCAAACTGAAACCGTCTGTCTTTAAGTCTCTGTCTGAAAAACGCAAGAGAACAGAGTCACCTTATATACACATTCACTCATTCACTCAGTCACTCCCTTCCTCATTCACTATCTTCCTCCATCCTTCACTCTCTTCCTCCCTCATTCAATCCCTCACTCTCTCATTCACTCCCTCCCTCCCTTCCTCCCGTAATCACTCATTCCTTCCCTCGCTTATACGTATATTACCTATATTACATATGGAATAAAGTGAGCACTAGAAATAGAAGTAACATCAGGCTTACGTTTGCCCACGACTCTGTTCAGGATGGTCCTCAACTCATGGACTGATATCTCCATATCCTAATGAGCAAAACAGAGAGGCAGGAAAAGAGTGACTGCCCACAAAGGCCAATAACACCAGGCCAACAACACACAAAAAGACTCTTACCTCTCCTGACAGCTGAGCAAACATGGTTCTGAATGAGGCATCGATGTCTTGCTCTGTAATTTCTCCCTTGGAAAGCAAAACATGAAACATTACAATACACTCACACACATCTGTACGTGCTATTATTCACTGAGAAACGATGGAAAAACGACAACAAACAGTAAAAGTGCATGTAGAGTAACTGTTTCTCTGTGTCTTTGCTAAACAAGAGGTGTGAAAGTGGAATAGATAGATAGATAGACAGATAGATAGACAGACAGATAGACAGACAGATTCAACTTTATTGTCATTGCTCAGTATAAGGCAACAAAATGCAGTTAGCATCTACCAGAAGTGCAAATAGTAGCAATAGTGCAAAACGGACAGTGCAAATGTGCAAAAACAGGCGTAAATATGACGAATCTATGAAATATATAAGTATATCGCTGTTGTCAGAAGAAAACCTTGTAACTCCAAAATGGTGACTTTACAGGACAAGAAAAAAACACTTTCATTTTAATGTAAGTCAATGGAATTTTTTGCAAGTAATTTTGGGTCATTTCTTTTGGTCCATTCACCATGAAATTTACATACAATATAAAGGACAACAGGCATTAATTAAGTGAGAATTTCATTGTACAGTGTAGCTGCCTGTTTCTGCTGTGCATATGACAATAAAACTCTTGAATCTTGAATTTTCAAATGATGTCAAAAATTAAAAAATGACAAAAAAGGAGATACGAGGTTTTCTTCCGACAGCAGCGATATAAACAATATATATGCAATTATAAATATATCTATGAATGATATATACATGTATATATAAACATAATACTATAAATACAAAGTGTCATTGTAACCACCATGGCAAGTGCAGCCTTGATATGTCTAAAATGAGAAAATTCCAACATGGGAGCATCTGCTGTCTGTGTTCTTACCTCTTCGTCCAGGATGAATGACACGTCATCATCCATCTCTCTGGAAAAACATTGAAACATTTCATATTGGTCACTTTTCAGAGCTGGATATACGTTTTAATGTCTGTAGGCTCCTGAGCGGCCATTCTAAATCATTTACACACAAAAATGAGGGTCCTTTAAGGGTTCTTTAGTAAAAGCAATGATTCAATTTAGAATCATTTTATGCCTAAATGGTTCTTTGCAAAGTGAAATGATTCTTTAGATGAAGAGTGAATGACGTATTGTATACAGGGGCGGCACGGTGGTGCAGTGGGTAGCGCTGCTGGGTGGCCAGGGTCCTTTCCCTGTGTTCTCCCCGTGTCTGCGTGGGTTTCCTCTGGGTGCTCCGGTTTCCTCCCACAGTCCAAAGACATGCAGTGTATGAGTGTGTGAATGTGTATGTATATCTGTCTGTCTGGCCTCTGAGGGACTGGCGACCTGTCCAGGGTGTGTCCTGCCTGCTGCCCATTGACCATTGGAATAGACTCCAGCACCCCCCCCCAAACCCCTGCGATCCAGCAGGATAAGCGGCTTAGAAAATGAGTGTGTGTATGTTGTGTACGGTTCTGTATAGAACCTTTTTGAAAATTATTCAATATAATATCTACTATTGTTACAAGCGTCACATCATAACAATAGCAGAAGAATCAGTCAGTTAAAAGTCTGAAATGTGTTTTTACTCTGACTTTTAACCTGTTCAGTAGAATATTCCACATACAGAAACACCACTGAGAGGCAGCTCCTGGCAAACACGGGAACTATTAACTAATACGGGAACAATTAACTGTGTAAACGATAATCAGAATTTACTTACTGTGTCTCGGACTGCTTCTCGGTGAAGACTCTGAGGACGAAATCAGCTTCTTTCCCAGGCTCGAAGGTGGAAGGGACAACCAGATACTCTCCCGGAGGCAGGCGGAGTCGTGAGCTCACCTCCCGCAGGTTGATGAAGGTCTCGGAACGGGCACAGGAAGAGTGGCGAAGGAAAAAGTCCTTCTTCAGGTGCACACTCTGGCAACCTTGGAACTATGCAATAAGAAAACACTCAGCATCAGTTATCGGGGTGTAGTGGGTAGTGTAGGTGCATACGCAGCCTGTCTGCAGCCACCTTGCCTTCTATTGGAATTTTTCCAAATTATGCCGAATACTTTTGAATGAGTTGCTCATTAGAGGCAGGGGTGGAAAGATGATGGGTAGCTCTCATCTCATGAGGACCTGATGGTTAAAGCTCAAGAGGCCTGTGCCATGGACAAGTGCTAAGTACAGAAGTTTGGCTACGTTCACATTACAACCCTCATTGCTCAAATCCGATCTCTCTGACACGATGGTTCACACTCGTTTAGGTAAGTGACACAAATCTGTCATTAATGTGACGAACCAGCGTCCTGAAATGACCCTCATGGCACATCCTACTCAGTAACGTCACGTGAATGAATCACGTTCATCATCAGCACAAACTAACGAGCAGAACGAGCTTCACTGACAAGATCATTAACTCTGATCAGCTCTCAGCTTCATTATTAGAGCGAGACGAAGGAGAAAAAGGTGAGATGAGCTGCTTTTCCACCGTTTACAGGCTTTAACTTCTGTTCGGCGCTGTTGCCATGGGAACGCTGAATGATGGTCACGCGCAGTGGAATAAAAGCACATGAATTCCGATCTGAGCGTCACATTAAGGTCACATGGCCACGAATTGGATACGTATCCGATCTAGGACCACATATGAAAACGGCTCAGGTCGGATTTGAAAAGATCAGATTTGTGTGTCCACACAGCCCTGAAAACATCAGATCTGAGTCACATTAGGGCAAAAAATCGAATTTGTGCCACTTCAACCTGGTAATGTGAACGTAGCCTTTGTAGGAAGCAGGTTGTAGGAAGAGCAAATGAGTTTGTACCCAATATTGACTGACAAAAAACTCCTTTTGGGAGGTTTAAAGCAGGACTGACTTACAAAGGCTACGTTTACACAGCAGGTAAAAGTGGCCCAAATCTGATTTTCTCACCAAATCAGATTTTTTTGTTTGATTGTTCAGATTATCTTTTAAATGTGATCTGTATGCGACATCAGTCTGAACAGATCAGCTTCTAAACCGACCCGCATGCGCAAAAGAACAGTGCTTCATGTGGCTCATCCAGAGGTAAACAGTCATAATGCCAGTGAATGCCTGTCGCTCCCAGAGCTTCAGTCTTGTCTTCGCCAGCATCACAGGAGCGATTATGAAGTTCCAGTGATTGACAGCTGGGACTCATCACCCATAATGTGTTCGAGTTCGCCGTAAAAAGGGCTCGTTTTTCGGCCACAGCCACTTCTTTAGTTCGTGTCCTCGGACTCTTTAAACTGTTCTCTGACGCTGCAGCCTCGGTCTCCTCCAGTCGCGTTCGGCCGCTTCGTTCGAAACCTCTTCAAACATGGAGCGGTTTGATGAGTCTCTTCTAATTTTTTGTACAGAAACATCAGCCTAAATTTTTATGAGTCTCAGCAGCGCGAAATTATGACGGATGTCGAGTTGGACTGACGTAAAAGTCGCATGAATTCCGATCTGGCTGTTCAGACTGAGTCGCATTGCAGATTGAATACGTAATTAATTGAACTTAATTGAACTGCTGATTTAACTGAGTGGTCACCTTGTGTCACACCCTCCAGTGAATGAGAAATCAATACTGTACATGTGTGCATTTCAACCGTAGATAATCTGAAAGCAGCACAGACAGAGCAAGATGTTTACCTCCTCTGGGACCTGAAAAAGAGAGAAAGATAAGAGTCAGACAATATTATAAATAAATCACAAAATCTGCTCAACGTCCAGTTTACTCTACGACACCCCAACACTTGACCCCTGAACTGCTAACCTCATAGATAGCGAAGCCAATGGTGTGCATGTCCTGGCCCTGCTTGCGGTAGCGTCGGCGGTCCTTCTGCATCAGAGCCACCAGGAAGCTGCAGGCTTTTTCATCATCTTCTGGATCGTCATCCTCCTCCAGCAGGGTGATCTTATACTGCGGGTTTATCCAGAACGTGTCTGACAGAGAGACATGAATCACAAACATCAATCATCAGGGTATAAACACAGCCTTCGACCAGCAGTGACCGTGACTGAATCTAGAACATCAGCGCCATTATGGAAAGTAAGTTAGAAGCCAGCCAACACTGGAGTAGCCAGCCAGCCAGCATAGGACCCCCTAAATAACAGGGGGTATTTCGCGCACTGTCTACCATAATGCTGATTTCAGCTAGCACCATCATTTCAGCTGTTCTAGCCCTTTTTATTTGTGTGTTATAACTGCTTATACAACAGTTAGTTCCGGCCACGCAAGCTGATTGGTTGAGAAGCGTTCTAACTGTGCTGATATTTCGCCATAACATTACAGGGTTTTCACAAACACTCTATCACCCCGCTCAGACGCCGTTGCTAAGCAACGACTTCAATAGGAGACACTCAAGCCATTTGAACGTTTTAACTTCTTAAAAACAGAAACAGAAAATGGACACTTAAGATCACATTCGACCGACAGCCGATTTGGTCAGACTCTGAAGATGAGACGACACTAAACTCCCAAACTGTCATCACCACTGAGCAGCTTTTCAGTCGGCAGCTGTGACAGAAGAACAGCTAAACAACCTGGAATCAGCCAGAAATGAACCCAACACCATTCGCCAAACGTGTAGTCTGATCTTCAGAGTCTGTAATCGGACCGAGCCATAAAACTGCCGCAATAAAAAAACAAAAAGCTGCTCAGTGGTGAGACAGTTTGGGAATTTAGTGTAAGGAGCTGGAGAACGAACTGCCGGCTGTGCAGCGAGTGGGCGGAGTTCGTTACTGTGACGTAGAACAAGCTGCTTGTTAAGGAACTATAATTTGGTGAAGGAACTGCGAACATTAAAACATATTAAACGCCGCGTTCACGACCCAGTTTATTAATTTATTACTGTATTTATTTAACTGTTGTATAAAAGCGGGCGGCACGGTGGTTGTCGCCTGTCGCCTCACAGCAAGAATGGCCTGGGTTCGATTCCCGGCTGGGAGACCGGGGTCATTTCTGTGTGGAGTTTGCCTGTTCTCCCCGTGTCTGCGTGGGTTTCCTCCGGGTACTCCGGTTTCCTCCCACAGTCCAAAAACATGCAGTCAGGCTGATTGGACATGCTGAATTGCCCCTAGGTGTGAGTGTGAGTGTGACTGTGTATGTCTGTCTGCCCTGCGATGGACTGGCGACCTGTCCAGGGTGTATCCTGCCTTCCGCCCAATGACAGCTGGGATAGGCTCCAGCACCCCACCGCAACCCAGAAGGATAAGCGGTTTAGATGATGTATGTATGTATTGTATAAAAGCAATAGAACATGCGAGGTTGTGTGTTATCGCAAATGTGTCCCTGCAAGTGAGAGCATCTTAAAGTTCACTCTTAGACTAGTACGTGTCAGCTCACGCTGTACAGGTGTTGCTGCACAATTTGTTAGCCACATTTTTTTTAATCTACTTGCTGAACACTGTTAACCATTATCTGGGTGGTGGAGATTTCTCACCACTACACCAACATGGTACTGGCATGGTGTGCTGTGTGCTTGTGGTGCTGGTACAGGAGTACCTGTTACAGCAATGTTTTTAGGGGTTTTCATACATGCCACTGTCGCTAAGCTCAGAGTGGTTTACCATCTAAATACATCCATCCAAAGAAGTGTCTGAGTATATGATTAATTGTGTGAGTATAAGCAGCTGTGTGAGTATGTGTGTATTCCTCACTGGCGTGGTTCCTGCAGCCTCCTGCCGTGCTCCCTCTCCTCCAGCCACCCTCAAATTTGATGGTGTTCCAGTAACTCAGGCTGTCATCACTCAGAGCATCAGGCGTCAGATTACAGATTTCCAGCCGTGAGAACTGACGCTTAAACTCCTGAAATGACATCCTGAAAGAGAGAGAGAGAGCCGTTACACTGCTGTCTCGACTTGAGAGACAACTATTGAGGAATGGCATTAATGTATTACTAAAAAAAGTCAACGGTTCTTTATTCATAATTCATTTAAATTATTCATTTCACTTTTTATTAAGTAATAACTTCTTTAAAAAAATCTACTTATTTATTTATTAATTGCTCTTGTGAAACTGTAACTTGTAAAGGAATGACTGCTGCTCTGAACTGAGAGAACAAGAGAGAAAGATGGGACAGAGAAACAGAGTAGGAGAAAGTGAGAGAGAGTAAAAATAAGAAAGAAAAAGACAAAATAAAGTATAAGAAACTCCAAACAACACCGGACAGTGTCATAAAGATGTGACCAATGCAGAGAACTGGGGACCAGTGTGGAGACATAAGAATCAGTTTGGGTACCAGTGATAAGAAATAGTGACCAGTGTGGAGTAATAGGGACTAATATGGAGTGATGGTTACCAGTGAGGAGAAATAGCGACCAGTGTGGAGAAATGGGGACCGATGTGGAGAAACAGGGACGAACTTGGAGAAATGGGGACGAGTGAAGAGAAATAAAGATCAATGTGGAGAAATGGGGACCGATGTAGAAAAATGGGGAACAGCGTGGAGAAGTGGGGAGCAGTGACGATAAATAAGGACCAGTGTGGAGAAATGGGGACCAGTGTGGAAAAATGGGGACCAGTGTGGAAAAATGGGGACCAGTGAAGAGAAATAAAGACCAATGTGGAAAAATGGGACCAATGTAGAAAAACAGGGACCAATACGGAGAAATAGGGACCAGTGAAAAGAAATAAGGACCAGTGTGAAGAGATGGGGACCAATGTGGAAAAATAAAGACCAATGTGGAGAAATAAAGAACAATGTGGAAAAATAAAGACCAATGTGGAGAAATAAAGACCAATGTGGAGAAATGGGGACCAATGTAGAAAAACAGGGACCAATATGGAGAAATGGGGAACAGCGTGGAGAAATGGGGAGCAGTGAAGAGAAATAAGGACCAGTGTGGAGAAATGGGGACCAGTGTAGAAAATCATGGACAGATATGGAGAAATGGGGATCAGCATGGAGAAAATAGGGACCAGTGAAGAGAAAATAAAGATCAATGTGGAGAAATGGGGACCAATGTAGAAAAACAGGGACCAATATGGAGAAATGGGAAACAGCATGAAGAAATGGAGAACAGCGTGGAGAAATGGAGAACAGCGTGGAGAAATGGGGACCAGTGAAAAGCAATAAGGACCAATGTGAAGAAATGGGGACTAATGTGGAAAAATGGGGAGCAGTAAAGAGAAATAAAGACCAATGTGGAGAAATGGGACCAATGTAGAAAAACAGGGACCAATATGGAGAAATGGAGAACAGCGTGGAGAAATGGGGACCAGTGAAAAGCAATAAGGACCAGTGTGAAGAAAAGGGGACTAATGTGGAAAAATGGGGAGCAGTAAAGAGAAATAAAGACCAATGTGGAGAAATGGGACCAATGTAGAAAAACAGGGACCAATATGGAGAAATGGGGAACAGCGTTGAGAAATGGGGAGCAGTGTGGAGAAATAAGGACCAGTGTGGAGAAAATGGGACCAGTGTAGAAAAACATGGACAAATATGGAGAAATGGGGATCAGTATAGAGAAAATAGGGACCAGTGAAGAGAAATAAGGGCCAGTAAAGAGAAATGGGCCTGGTATGGAGAAATATGGACCAATTAGGGACCAAGCTGAATGAATATAACTCACCAGAACTCTCCATCCTCCATTTTGGAGTTCATCTCCTCTTTTTCAGCAGGATCAATTGCATTCCATTCAGAAGAACTGGATAAGACACGTGGAAATGTCAACAGTACAGTTATTTCGTATTTAGTGGATTTCAGCCCATAAAACGAGTTTCATTCACATGATCCGACAAACATTCTTGTCAGAAATACTGCAGGCTTTTTCTTTAAAATATATACTACGTCTTCAAATTAAATGTCACTTCAAGAAGGAACTATGCTGTTAGGTACTAATATATGAACGAATTAATAACTAATATATTGTAATTGTGCTACAAAGTTGGCAATAAACTCATTTCAACTCGACGACTCACTTGTCACTCCAGGCTCCTGTCCATTCGATCTGCCCCCAAGGGTTCCGGACACGGATCAGTCTTTCTCTATTACCACGGAAATTCACCTAAGACCCCAAACCCCGCACATACGGAAACATTTAATATAATCAGCACTAAAAGAAAATAAACTGAAGTTCTATGTATAGAGCAGAGCTTTTCTGCCCAGCAGATGGTGATGTTGCCCTGGTCCAATGAATTTTGTGCAGCTTCTCAGCACAACTAATGTAGGTAAATAAAAACTTTTACATAAAAAACTTTCTAGTTCACGAAAAAACATTTGCACTGAAAGTGCAGACTGACCTCCGTGAGACCTGTAACGGAGTAGGCGTGGCCTTTCACCAACTTCTTGAAAGTGATCGCTTCCATGTCAAAGGCACTAGTAATCTGTGAAGGTAAAACATAAACACACACTTGTCAAGTTGTTCTCTTTACAAAACAGTTAAGGTACCTGTAACTCATAACACACACTACAGTACATAACTGTGTGACAGTGACATCAAATGAACTGTGGCGTTTGGCAGCGCAATAATATGATCATGTTTTGCTGAATATGTTAGTATGTAATATCAGGTTATTGAGCTTATTAAGCTGTATTTCTATGTATGAAAGGTGCTGCACAAAAACAGGAGCACTTAAAAGTTTGGACACACTTGATTGAGTGTATTATTTTCAATATCTTAAAGATATTTTGGACCCAAAGCTTAATGCCTAATCCTAAATGCTGGAAATGTATTTTTAAGACAAACACAAATGTTGATCGCCTATGCGCAAATTTACTCGACCGCCCAATTTTCACAATATTAAAACCAAAATAAAGTATTGACTGAAGTACTAAGCAAGACACCAGAAGGTATTTAGGGATTTTTTTATTCAACATTTCAAGTTTAAGAAGTTATTTAATGATAAATAACTTACTATAATATTATTCATAATAATTTTTGATCCTGTTATCTGCCCCAAGCTTTGCCTTTTGATTACTAATTCTATTAGAACTTAATTCTTCATGTTATTCAGCTTTCTCAGTCATTAAGGGATCGGCTACAGCTCTGTTCATCATTCTGGCCACAACTAACATTTATTCATTTTTACAAATTGCTACCAATTAGCTGACACCTATGAAGTTATGGAGTAGTACCATCATATTATAATCAGAGTATACATGTATCTTCAACAAATATTATTGAATAAGAGATTTTTAAATGGCAGTGTTTTAAAAAAAAATTAAAAACTAGTCCAAACTCCACAGTAAACAACTGCTCAGCACACGTGAAACTTAATAATCAAGTTTTATCCTAAACTATAACAGATTTCAGTTGTTTTTTGTCACTGCATAATTCCACAATGTGCTATTTCAATCTTAATGGTTTCATGATTATTCCTAACTGTCGAAACACAAGGAAAACCTTTCTGTGCACATTTGTATTATTGCCATAATAATAATAATATTTCTTAATTACAGTCCATTCAGATTCTTGATTCAGACCCAAGAAAGGCTTTGGCCTAGCAGCTGCTCTATAATGCTACAGATCACTGACATTACGATCGAGTCAACGTTACAACCATAAACAAAATTCAGACTTCAAAGTTCAACTAATTCAAGATTAGCTACTACTTTTTTTTTAGGTATGTGATGCACCATTTTTACAGCTATTACACTGTGTCCACTCACTGTCCACTCTATTAGACACTCCCACCTTGTCAGTCCTAATGTTATGCCTGATCGGTGTAAGTCTTATTATTTTCTTTGATGTTTCTTTTGCTTTTTCATTTAAAGCTCACTGAACTGCCTTTGCGTAGGAGATGTACTATATAAGTAAGTTGTCTTATCTTGCCTAATAACATCCGCCTTAAAGACCATTTTTTTCTGGACTTTAGTCCATTTCCACGTTTCCATCTCTTTTCTCTCTCCTTATCCCCACATTGGCTCTAAGCTTGTTCTTGCTGTAGGGACTCACATCGATGGAGCAGCCCAACAGCGAGCCTCTCTCCAGAGCTTTGGCGATGATGCGATGCAGGTCCCTGGGAGCCTTGCGCAGCTCATACATCTCGGCCACTCCACCCGTGAAGTCTTCAAAGCCCTCAGTGGTGGAGCCTCCAGACAGGGCCTCGTATGATCCATTAAGTCTGGAAACATGTATAAACATGATTTATTTACGCAGCCCAAAGATAAGAGAAGGTAAGAGATGAAAAACACAAACATTCAAATGTTCGGAATCATCTGTATATTGATATTTTTGGTTACTGCATATACAATAATATTCTATTACAAACTAGACCTCAAAAGGATTTTAAACACTGAATATATTGGAAGCAATATGTGAGTAACCAAAAGTTACTAAATAATAATACATAAATACTGTCTTTGTGAATCATTTTGAAGTGTTTTGTCAAGTTATGTGCCTTGAAATGAAGAATTCTGAATGTTAACATTATTCCTGATGTCATACAGCTCATTTCACTGTTCATCATTCTTAAATTCTAACCCTAAATTCACACCGGCAGCTTTTTAATGAGAGCTGGCGATTTCCAGTGACAGGAGGCGGAGCGAACGTTAGTGGCAAAGAGGGCGGAGTCAGCGACGCAACAAAGTTGAGCGGAATTTAACTTTATGCAAATAAGGAGCAAAGCGATTTGGCAATTACCAACAGGAATTGAGCACTGAGCAGCGTAATACGCGCTTTATCTCCACCACTGTGAAACGGTACGCTCTATTTTTGTTTCCTAGATAATTGTTCTTACTACAGGTGGAATAATGGCGGCGGTGCTTTCACCGCAAATAGACAGTAAGAAGACCAAATAGCGTTTTCCTCACATACTGACCGCACAGACACAGAGATCAAATAACAATAAGCACACAAGCGATTTCTCACCAGGATTTTTATTTTTAGTGGGAACGCATCTGATTTATGTTTAGTGTCAGTGAAACCATGGCAACCACGGTCAGCTCGAGTTCAGAAACGCCCACAGGCAATGAGCGACCAGCGTTTTGGGCGTCAAGAGGCGAAAAGTCGCTGTCGGTGTGAACGCAGGGTAATGTCTTAAATTTTAATTATTAACTTCTTTTAGAGCTCCCGTCTTTTCTACTAATTATTTAAAACCTGTGAATTAGGGAAGCATTATTTGACATAAAATGATAAGACTAGATCTAGATATTGAAATGATGTGAAGCGATAAATTCTGGTAAAAACTGGGGGTCTCTGACAGGGTGTCTACAAAGGCCTACAGAAAACAACAATATATATATCTTTGATTCTTTAAAAAAAGCCTTCTTATTTTGATGCAGGTTTGTTGTAACAGTAGCCATTGTTGCCTAACACATTTCATACACAACACTGGGAGTGAGAACAGTTGTCACGTTTGAAACACAGGGTGATTCAAAAAGATTCGTCAGATTTCAAAGTGTTTTATATTATTGTATTGTACTGTATTATATTACTGTACCTTTTTTTAACCCAAAGACCCTTACAACACTTGAAAATAACTTCTAGGTTAAATATAGTGTCTAGCATCGACAAGTACTGAGGTTAATACCCAAATATTAACTGTAAATAATCTTGTAATAAAGTCACAAAATCTCAAAATGAAAAATATCATATATTGACTAGATTTAAGATCATTTAATTTCCCAAGATACCGTTTTTGCAGTGTATTTCTTGATAAATATCCCCCACCCACAAGAGGCACGTTTCATTTAGAACTTTAGTTAAATTTTAAGTTGGAACTACAATTATTTCATCATCTTAATTATGTGTACCTTGTTTAAAAATTGATTATCGTAATGTAGGTCCTCAATCACACATTTAAACCAAACCAGCTGTCTTCTGAAGTTGGGTGGGTCTAAACAGCCCTACCTGACAGAAAGCCAACTTTACTGATTCTTCGTATTATATTATTCTTAAGCAGTTTTGATGTCTTCACTACTATTTTTTTTTCTTTCTTTCCCTTTTTCTTTATACCATCAACCAGTGGTTGGTATAGTGTAGTGGGTAACACCTCTGCCTTCTACACTGTAGACGGAGGTTCAATGCCCTGCCTGGGCGCCACCCTACACTATACCAATAAGCGTCCTTGGGCAAGACGCTCTAGATAAGAGCATCTGCTAAATGCTGTAAATGTAAATGTACCACACACTCTCTCACTCACTTAGCGTAGGCCTTCTCCAGCAGGGCGCTCCAGAACTCGCTCCCCTCGGCCGAGTGCACAAACATCAGCTCCCCGTCCTTCACTGGCAGCCTGTCGTCAATGACCACGTCCACCCACTCGCCAAACTGCCAGAACTATATACAAACAACAAAGAATTTAGAAAACATTAAAGGAAATCCTGTCACATTTTTTCATCCCAGTTTTGGGTGGAAATTTAGTGCAAATGATTATTTATTCCCCCTTACTTTTGATCAATGTAATCACATCAGGAGGAATTATAACTGATTCATTCAGAAATGAATGAATCATTACACCACCAGTTTCAGCGCAAGTACCTGGAAGTGGAAGATGCCGGCATAGTCGTCTGTAAAGCTCTGACCGTGAGGCACCACTCTGTGGAGGAGCTTCTCATTCAGAGTGAGAGATGCTATAGCAGCCAACAACCAGCAGTCACCTGAGAGAGAGAAGCAGAAGATGAGAATTATGCTGATTTACTCTGTAAATAAATGTTCAAAAAAATACCTCTAAATTTCCGGATGCATTTGAAGACGACTCCCAGAGAAGAGTCACTGATCTTCACTAAACAGGTAGAAGGAAGTCAAGTGATGTCATCAGTATGATTTTTATTTCAAAATAAGAGATTTTTTGTTACGCAGTAACACCACTGACACGACTCCTGGGGACAACAACTTACTGTAGTTAAAATAGCAGAAAAATGTTTTTTATTTCAGAATATGTCCTCAGCCTTTACACATGACTGTGAGGACGAGCTCTTCTGTGGTGCTTGGAATTCTAGATAACTGATGTAAAAACCAATATGGCTAAATTGAGGCTCAAGAAGGTGTAATTGTTAAAATAACATTGTTTATTTTAAAATATAAATAAATTGCAACTCCAATGTTATTCAAGTGTAATAAATCTGTAAACGCTAGGGACACAAAAATGGTTGTTTCCATAGAATGACTCGCATACAAATGCACCCTTCATTTAGTTTCCAGTCAAAATGGCCATTCAATACAAGTTCATTCCCCATCAGAATCCGAAAATATATCCTCGCTGCCCAAAGAAAACCATGTATCTCCATTTTTGTCATTTTTTTTTCTACATTTCATTTACCAGCTGTTCTTTATGGTGTGTGAAAATTTCATGATGATTGGACAAATAGAAATGCGCCAAAATAATTTAGAATAAAACCTCTTTTTATTAACTTACATTGAAAGGTAAAAGTGTTTTTGCTCTCTCCTGTGAACTTTTCTTTGGACAGTGACGATATATATGACTGGAAACTGCACACAAGACTTACCAACTAAATATGATGTAGTAATTTAGTGTTTTCTGTATTAGCTTGTATTCTTTTCTGAAGACATGCTCTTAGTTCCTCAAAGAATCTGCAGACACGCCTCCAAAGTTCAGTCCTAGAAGCTGGTTGATCATTTTCTGAAGTGATCAAACACATTCAGTGGTGTTGAGGTCTGGACTCTGGGGTGGTCAGTCCATCGTTCAGCTTCTTTGTTTGATGTGTCCGTCTCCTTTTCTCAGTGAGGTTCTTATTGATCAGCTACACATCCTTTCAGACCCACAGCGCTGAGTCGTCTTCTCACAGTGGAAGGATGGACAGAAACACCTGAGGATGTTTTCAGATCTGAAGGAGCTTTAAGTGCTGTTTATCTGATGGGGCAGTTTTGGTGACTACCAGGTCTTCCAGGTGGTTGTTAGGAGCCCCATTTTTTCTGTATCTTTCAGTCATTTATTTGTATATTTGGAAACTCTTCCTGTTTTTTTCCACCTTCTTTACACAAGTGGCTTATCTTATATCTAATCTCCTCATAAACATCTCTAGAAAAAGTTAATAATTTCTACTTAATAGATGTTTTGACTGGAAATTTAAACAGTGAATGTTGGTCTGTGACTTTGGCATCAGTACTGAATGTTACTATTTTGGATAACTAGAAGCTACAGGAGCAGGATGAAGGACAGGAAACCATCACTGAGCTCTGTCAGTAACACAATAAGCCCTCTCAGTCTACTCCATCCATTATGCTCACTGGCACCATTTGCCTTAGCGTCTGTAGCCATTAGGCAAGTCATCAGACACAGTAATACACAAAAACACAAAGACCCACACAGAATCTAATGTACGAAAACAATAATTCAGTCACACAGGCCTCCACACCCTCAGTGAGCGGCCATGGAGGCGTCAGGAAGGTTGCTGAGTTTATTTGTTTTTTATGATCTTCATTTCCTAAATCTGGTTTGATTTGTACACGACACAAACTCTTACTTTTATTCGCTGCTGTTGAGCAAGTTTCAGAAATCTTTTAATAAAAAAGTTCTACCGTTTTTGGCAAAATTGTAAGAAAATGTTTAATGGTAAATATATATATATATATGTGTGTGTGTGTGTGTGTGTGTGTATAAAATTAACATATTATAAAGAAAATCATATATACATATATGATACATACATATACTTTTAATGTTAGTCAATGGAACCAGACTTTTTTTTATTCATTTTGAGTCATTTGTTTTGGTCCATTTATCACAAAATTAACAGACGATATAAAGATCAACAGCTATTTTGAAATTATGTCAAAAACTGAAAAACGAGAAATACAATACCAATATGAAATTAGTGTATAGATATACACACACATTATATATATATATATATATATATATTTGTCATTTGAAATGCTGCCAAACTCAGACCAGGCAATGACAAAACCACGTTCTGCTCTCAGAGATAAGATCAGGGCTCTCACCACCTCTGCCTTTATCATCACCACCTCTGCCTTTATCAGCCCATCTGAAACTCACTGACTGACATAAAATAAACACTTCAGTTCATGGTCCCAGAGGGGAAATCTGTTCTGCGTTCTGTGGTGAAAAGTCTTCAAAGAGATTCCCTGGAACAGCGACGGCTTAATGGCCCTTAGGCAATTCTACAGAAGAAGAGCTTTCAGTTTGCCCGTTATACGTGAGATATGTACGTCATACGAAAAGAGTATCAGATCTGTTTACCTGCGGAAACACACTCGTCTTCAGAGACCAAAAAAGCAGGGGAAATTCAAAAGTGCAGTCCCCACCACTAAAGCTTTACTGGTGTCTCACATATAAATTTTTCCTGCATGTCAAATATTCAAACAGGCCTTTTTTATAGATATTTAAAAAATGCATTTTTATTATGATCACATTTTCTTAATTCCCCTATGTTTGTCAAATATTAAAATATATTCAAATATATTCATTTTGCCCTATTTTACACATGTACTATTTAACCAGTGTCAACGTTTTCTAATTCCACCAGAGGGCGTTAAATTCCCAAGCAACCCTAAAAGCATGTTGTGTGTTTATTTCAGTGATTCTCTATGGGGCTTGTCAAAAAAAGCACATAGGCCTATTGTTGTTTTCAAGAATGAGTCATGCAGAAGTGCCGGTGACACCCTGCTGTTATTAATAAGCTGAAGGAGAGAGGCTTCAATCACAGGGACACTGTAGTAAAAGCTCTGTAACTAGCACAGGCAGCTGCATTAGGCAGGCAGCAGCTGAGCCACGCAGCTAAACCATCAGCTTCATTTAATAAATGAATATCAAAATCATTACTATGACCTTTATTACTGTTTATTTTATTTCAGACAGCTTTAATCCACAGTCACACTGACCTGCACTCCTCTATGTGGCGTTTTTTCATCCCTTCTTCCTCACAGACTCCCATTCATTTTCAACAACATGTAGCTACCGCTTAGCAGCTCCCTATGAATGACTTAAGTAACAACTCATACACCACAGCAACTGCCTAGCAACAATTTAGCAGCCACACTGGATCCCACAGCAACTGCGTAGCAACACCGTAGCAACCACCTCAGATACCACAGCAACCACCTAGCAACACCTTAGCAACTACCTTTGATACCATAGCAACCACCTAGCAACACCTTAGCAGCCACCTGGCACACTATAGCAACTGCCTGGAACACCACAGCAACCGCCTAGCAGTCCCCTTGCAACCACGTGGGATACCATAGCAACCACCTAGGAACCACCTGGGATACAATACCAAAGCCCTTGCAACACCATAGCAACACTGTAACAACCACCTCGGATACAATGGCAACCACCTAGCAACACCTTAGCAACCACCTGGAACACCATAGCAACTGCCTAGGAACCACCTGGGATACAATACCAAAGCCCTTGCAACACCATAGCAACCACCTGTGCTACCGCAGCAACCACCTACCAATACCTTAACAACCACCTTGGATACCAAGGCAATCACCTAGCAACACCTTAGCAACTACCTCTGAAACCATAGCAACCGCCTAGCAACACCTTAGCAACCACCCTGGATACGATGGCAACCACCTAGCATTACCTTAGCAACTACTATTGATACCAGAGCATCCACCTAGCAACACCTAAGCGACCACCTGGAACACCATTGCAACCGCCTGGAACACCATTGCAACCGCCTAGCAACCACTTAGGATACAATACTAAACCCCTTGCAACACCATAGAAACCACCAACCACCTAGCAACAGCATAGCAACCACCTTGGATACCAAGGCAACCACCTAGCAACCACCTGGGATACAATATCAAATCCCTTGCAACACCATAGCAACCACCTGTGCTACATTCAGCAACCACCTAGCAACACCTTAGCAACCACCTTGGATACCATAGCAACCACCTAGCAACCTAGCAGGAAGTGGGAACCATTTAAGCTGCGCAACTATTCATACGTTTCTAGTTTTATTTGTAAAACACTAAATAATATATAATGATTTCAAACAGTCACTGCATTAATATGCAACAAAGCTCCTTAAAGGTAGGGGGGCTGTAAATAATACTAAAATGCATAAAAATACCCCTTATTAAAATCTGAGAATTTTGACTTTAACCCCATGTGCACTGTTTGTGTACAAATATAAAATGTGGAGTGCAGCGGCAGAAAACATCTTTTACGAAAGGCTCTATTTATCACTGCTGCCAGAAAAAAACTCGCATCTTTACAGGAGAAGGAAAAAACCTACTTCACCTTTAATGCAAGTCAATGGAACCAGACTTTCATTTTTGGGCCGTTTCTTTTGGTCCATTCATCATGAAATTTACACACAATGTAAAGGACAACAGGCATTTTCAAATAATGTCAAAAACTGAAGAACAACAAAAATAGAAATATGAGGTTTTCTTCCGACAGCAGCGATAAATCACTTAGCTACTTCTTCTTACTCACTGTGGCTCAAACATATGGGTGGGCTTAAGCAAAGCACCACGTTTGTTTCCACGAAGCTGATTTAGCTCTTGGTGAACAGTTTGCCAAACATTTTATTACTACAGCTCTAAACATTTACGGGCCACATTTATGCCAGTTATGCAATTATGAGTTGATTAATTCACATGAGCCCTACACCATTCAGAGATATTCACCTCACGCCTTTTTCTTTCAAATGCACTTTCTAGTCTTATCTTGCCATTTCAAACCACAAACTGCTGACACACCAACCGCAGTACCTCAGAGCACCAGCAGAGGGCTGGACGAGAGAGGGAGGTTTGTGTAAGAGCGAGGTAGAGAAACAGAGAGCGGGCATAACAATAACAGAGCGATCATTCCTATTAGCTCCATCTTGTCCCTCTCACACTTCTCTCCCAAAAAGGCAGGTTTACTAAAACTCCCAGCGAAGTGTGGAGCGATTACAGCGCAGTCGCGATCAGATCCTCCTCCTCCACCCTGTTTCACAAACACAAACTGTCTGAGCCATATAAACACATACATAATGAGAGTGATGGCGCACGGCCAGATTTCCCAGAACTCTCTTGTGCTTAACCACTCCGTCTGTGACTCATTGCTCAGGCAGCGGGTTTTACACACCCCACCTCACCCCCAGGAAATACACACACACACACACACACACACACACCATGCCTCTGCCATTCTCTCTCTCTTTCTCTCCCACTCACACAACATTCTTAGAAGTTTTGCACTTTCATCCACAGCTTTTTTCGCGCTGCGGGTCGAATCTGACCACCTTTAAGGTCACAAAAGAGTGTTTGAAGCACTCTATAGTCACTCTTTTCCCCAGACGCGCATCAACAAAATGCCCTAGTCGCACTGGCTATTAGCCAATATGCTAAAAAATGGCAAACACTGGTAATATAAGCAAGAGCAGCCATATTTCTCAACCCGTAAACCATCTTAATGCCCAAGTTTCTGTCTGGTATTTATGACTCAGATTGACGGTTGAGGCTTTTATCCCAGTCCAGGGCTGATCATTATGTTAACTCTTGACGTGCCGTCACCTGCGTTCCTCTCAGGCTCTGCTGTAAACACCGCTGGCCTGGTTGCCTGCCAACCAGTACCACACAGGCCGTCCCACGCTTTGTTGTAATTTTTATTGCTGTGACTCGCACAGTGAGGCGAATCAGCTCCACCTGTACTTGCAAAATGGATGACATGACTTGCTCAACCCAAAAATGCTTTTGAGAAAAGCTCAGATACATTTAGATATCAAGGGTTCCGCTCCACCCTTCAGTGTGTCCTGTACAGCTCTGCAGCAAAGGCCAAAATGTAGCGCGCCTTCCAGGTGCAACTGCAGGTCAGGTGAATGTAGCTTAAATCCTAGAAAAGGCTGACTTGAAGTACTCCAGAACTCAGAATGTATAGAACTTGTTGAGGAAGTACTTCAGACCTCAAGATTTCTAGAACCTGTTGACTTGCAAAGTACTCCAGAACTCAGAATGTATAGAACTTGTTGAGGAAGTACTTCAGACCTCAAGATTTCTAGAACCTGTTGACTTGCAAAGTACTCCAGAACTCAAGATTTCTAGAACTTGTTGACCTGAAGTACTCCAGAACTCAAGATTTCTAGAACTTGTTGACCTGAAGTACTCCAGAACTTATCATTTCCAGAACATGTTGACTTGAAGTACTTCAGACCTCAAGATTTCTAGAACTTGTTGACCTGCAAAGTACTCCAGAAATCAAGATTTCTAGAACTTGTTGACCTGAAGTACTCCAGAAATCAAGATTTCTAGAACTTGTTGACCTGAAGTACTCCAGAACTCAAGATTTCTAGAACTCGTTGACCTGAAGTACTCCAGAACTCATAATTTCTAGAACATGTTGACTTGAAGTACTTCATAGCTCAAGATTTCTAGAACTTGTTGACGAAGTACTCCAGAACTCAAGATTTCTAGATCTTGTTGAGTTGAAGTACTCCAGAATTCAAGATTTCTAGAACTTGTTTCAAAATGTCCCTAAATTCAAGATTTTTAGAATTTGATCTAAAATATTCCCAAACTCAAGAATTCTGGAACTTGTTGACTTGAAAAATCCCTGAATTGAAGAATTCTAGAATTTGTTGATCTGATATATTCCTGAACTTCAGAATTCTAGAACAGTGATCTTGGAATTGAGACTCTCAATTTTTAAGTGAGAAAAATGTTTAAAAAGTGTATTTTGTACATGATTTGAAAAAGGAGCTGTTGGCCTTTTATGCAGAGGATGTCACATCATATTTAATTGGATTTTTATAGCAAATGTGAACATGTGCATCCCGGTAAAGTACCATTTAAGGACTGTAGGTGTGAATGATACTGAGGCCCAAACATACACATATTCTAAAACACCTTTGTGTTTTAGAATATAAAAAATGCACAGTTCTGCGAAACAGTATTTGCCCCCTTCCCAATTTCTTCTAATTTTGCATTTTTTTCACACTTGAATAACCTAAATAAACAGAAAATGCTGTTCAGCCCTACCTGGACCTATGTGAAAAAGTAATGGCACCCTTAAATGGCTTGAGCGTCTCCTACAGCTGTCAAAGTCGTTGCTTAGCAACGGCGTCTCAGCGGAGTGAAAAACGATTCGAAAGCTCAGAACGCTTCTCAACCAATCAGCTTGTGTGGCCGGAACCGTTGTGCATATATATATATATATATATATCCTTATAGTTGACTGAGATGGCTTGGCCCCTGACGTAAGTCGTGTTCTATTGCTTATATGTTAGCTGGGCGATATGGCCAAAAATGTTATCACGATAAACAAAATTCATATCGTTCGATATCGATACATACCGCCATAAATGTCACATCATTATTTCTTACAAGTTTGAAGGCTGATTTTGTGGTTAATTGCTGTTTTAAACTATCCTTTATGGTCGGAACACGACAAACACTCGCCAAACAGTGGAACATTTCACCAATCTGTCATGGGAGAGTGGGAGAAAGAGTCTGGTGAGCTGTTTTTACCAGCTGGAAAAGCATGGCCGCAATTTTTGTAATAGTCATAATTTGATAATAGTCACAAAGAAAGAAAATGGATTATTTTTAGCTGTCTGGTGACCAGTGCTAGGCTATCCCGTTACAAATGACATCACAGTATTCAGACACCAGCTAGCGATGACTGGATTTCTGCAAAATATCTAACACCAGACAAACAGAGTCCTCTTTTTAGGTACATTTAAACTGAAAGTGGTGCTTTTGTGTTGTGTTTGATCTACAGTAACATCGATTCGCTGTGCTGTGTGAGTGACGAGGCGCTGCTTCAAGTTAGCCAGCTGCTAAAAACAGCTAGTCTGGGAAGCTAGCGTTCTCTCACTCTCCAATGACTCACAGCTTCCTCAGTTTACTTTCGTTTAAATCAGGGCTGTAACTCACATGAACTCACTTCTTAGTTTCACTTTCGTTGCTTGTGAATGCACTAATCCTTGAATATGACTGTCTGAGCGCTGCAACAGTGCTTTAGTTGTGAGGATTGTGATTGTGATTTAACTCTGCTAAAGCTGGTTAGGATGTACAGAAAGAAGTGAGCTCCTGTAGGTCAGTACAGTTACACCACTGACCTCGTCACTCACACTCAGTCACAGGAGAACAAATCACCGGTCGCTCCGCTCAAACAGGGACTGTATAACGCCGCGTTTCAGCCGTGGCTAAAGACTCCTCTTAATCATCGCCCCCTCCCTCTCTAATCATGTCGAAAAACTTGGAAGTGCGCCCTCTCCTGGCGACAGCAGAGTAGTGTCGCTTTCCTTGCAGTAGAAAACGCCACCAAGGCTTTCGCTAGAACGTGGGAGTGTGAGAGCGGTGTATTATATCTAAAATTTATCGAACATGTCTTATCGCTCTATCGAGGAAAAGTTATATTGCGATAATTGTATATATATATATATATAAAACGAAAACTTGGCGCATCAGAACGCAGACTGCCCCCTAGTATCACGGAGATCAGGCTGTATACATAGTAGATAGTTCTGACAAATGTCAATATTCCATAATTAAAGTGAGTGGAAGAACATTTTAGCTAGGACAGATGCCCCCACCCCACCCCCAGCCCCCCCTCAAATGTCACCCATGACTTTAAGTGTTCAAGAATTCTGACTGAAATTGAGACCGACACTCTACAGTCTCAAACCTGTTGGCCTAAACCTTGGTACCGAAAAAGTGGGTGTAAAGCAGCAGCGTGTGGTTTGAAGCACGCTGTGGAAAACAGAGCGAGTTGATGAACACTCACCCAGAGCTCCCTGGCAGATGTCTGTCCGTGTGGCTCCACCAACTATGAACTGAGGACCCTCTGTGAGCTCCTGTGAATGACAACCACACCAAGATGGAGATCAGCACCGTTACAGTCAACATAGAATCAACACAAACTGTTCTATTCTTGAAAGCTTCATAATAAAGTGATGATAGAATAAACAGAGTTAAAGCTGAGGAAACACTCAAGTGTGCAGTGTAGCTGTACTGCAGGACCAGTACTGGCATCAATGGTACTTGTCATCAATGCTTCTTCAATGCTGATTCCTTCATTCTTCACCTCATTGCACCCTGATCTGACCTGATATTTTTACTGTGGCAGTCATGCACAGGTTTTTGATAGAAAGAAAGCTGCAGTTGTCCATTTTATCTTGGCATGGCCATCTTTATGGAGAGGTGTGAACTGTTTTCACAGTAGGGAGTGAAATCACCCCTCATTGGTCGCAACATTTCACACACAGAGAGCCGAAAGTCATAACTAATCTGATAACAGAGATACTGGCGGGAAACATTTTATGCAATACAATAATAAAAAAAAATGAACTGAGTCAATTTCCATTCTGCCAGCAGAGCGGCCACTAGGGGGCCTCATATCCATATTAACATCCGTCTCGATTGATCTGATCATTCACCGATCAGGCATAACATTATGACCACCTCCTTGTTTCTGCGCTCATTGTCCATTTTATCAGCTCCACTTACTATATAGGTGCACTTTGTAGTTCTACAGTTACAGACTGTAGTCCATCTGTTTCTCTGCATACTTTGTTAGCCCCCTTTTACCCTGTTCTTCAGTGGTCAGGGCCCCCATGGACCCTCACAGAGCAGGTACTATTTGGGTGGTGGATCATTCTCAGCACTGCAGAGCACACACGACCATATCTACATGAACATCACACGAACAATACGCATCTCACAAACATGAGTGTGGATCACTGCGTTCCCTCCGTTATATAATCCAATCCCACTTTCTGAGTGTAATATTCTTGAAATAGTGTAATTCTGGACAGTATCTTGCTTAAATTGCTGCTCTGTAATGGTACTGAATGCAGTCCAGCAGCGATGTTGATCACCCCAAAATAGCGGTGCCGTTGACGCGCCTGCCTGGACCCATCTAGGTATGTATATCTATGGTGCCAGCCCACTGCTTTTTGCACGCACAAACCCTGAAAACGTTGTCTTATGCAGCTGATCGAGTCAAGCGGCTCCTTTAAGGTGGTAAAAGAGTACCCAGAAGCGCCCTGGTGTCCATGTTAGGCTTAGACTAATCCCAAAGCCATTCCTGTTCACTGTCTCAACAACAAGTGGACCTACTTCAGATGCTGTGGACTAGACAGCGGGAAGTGATCGAAACATGTCAAACATCCCTTACTCAGCTGTTCAGCCAAACAAGCTAACGTTAGCACTTTTTGTACATTGTGTTATGTGCGCTTGTTGGTGGCATTATGGTATAATGGTTCTGACAAAACACATACCTGACCACCAGTTTACTGCCCACTACTACCGCAAGTATGCAATATATGCGTTCGCATTTCATGAGCAGCTAGTTTAAGTGTGTTTCTGACGAAAGGCTTGTTAGCTTCTCTTCTAGTTTTGCATGGGAGCTACAAGCCACCAATTAGCACTGAGTAAACTGCATATCTAAACTATGACTGTGTCGAGTTGTTGAGTAACTAATTAACTTCAGCTTTGTCTGTAATAGCAACTGCTTGGCAACCACTACATACAACATAGCAACCACCTAGCAAATGCTTGGCAACCACTACGTTAACCACAGCAACCGTCTAGAAACTGCTTGGCAACCACTGTGTACACCATAGCAACCCTCAGCAACCACTGCGTAAACCATTGCTCAGCAAAGACTGCGTACACCACAGCAACCACCTAGCAACCGCTTGGCAACCACTGTGTACACCATAGCAACCACCTACCAACCGCTTTGCAACCATCGCGTTCACCATAGCAACCGCCTAGTATCCGTTTGCCAACCAATATGTTCACCATAGCAACCAACTAGCATCTACTTGGCAACTGCATAGCAACAGCCTGGCAACCACTGCGTAAACAATAGCAATCACCTAGCACCCACTTACCAACCACTGTGTGGTCCATAGCAACCACTACGTACACCATAGCACCCACTTACCAACCGCCTAGAAACCACTTGGCAACCACTGTGTAAACAATAGCAATCGCTAGCAACCACTTAGCAACCACTGTGTAGACCATAGCAACCGCCTAGCAACCACTTGGCAAGCACTATGTTCACCATAATAACCGCCTAGCAACAGCCTGGCAACCACTATGTTCATCATAGCAACCGCCTAGCAACCACTGTGTACCCCATTGCAATCGCCTAGCAACTGCTTGTCAACCACTGTGTACACCATAGCAACCGCCTAGCAACCGCTAAGTATTAGCTAGTTTTATGGATAATAGCAGGTGATGATTCAGGCAGTTTGCACAAGGCTAAATGACTGAGTTTGAGCTTCCACCCCTGGTTAGCTACATTAGCCTCGTAGCACCAGCTCAAAACTACAGTAATAAACTTCAGACACGTCTCGGCCGGCTGACTGCGTTTTGCGCTGAAGGGGAAGCTGTAAATTTAGATGTGTCTGAAGATCATTTTGATTTTGCTCATATTCAATAAACAGGCCTTGATCTTTCAGACGGGATCAGGACAGGCCTGGTTAGTGACCACGTGACCATGTGACTCACCGTGGGCCTCTTCCACGTCACGCCACGGGTTTTGGAGGAGTGAGGGGCGAGCTCTTTGAAGCCCAGTGACGGCGGCTGGGCGGGGAAGCAGGGGTCCTCAAACAGCTGTCCGCTCTCCAGGCTCTCCTGCTTCAAAGCCTCGTAATCCTGGTTGAGGAAACGCAGTGCTCGCTCGTTAGAGCCCACGCCCTCCGCATGCAGCCGCTCACGGTGAATCCTCGCCGACATCCCACCAAAGATTTCCATACTGCAACAACACAGGCACAGTGAATACAGTGAGAGAGGGAGGGAGAGAGAGAGAGAGAATCACAGAGAGAAAGACAGAATGGGAGTGAGACTAAGGCCCAATCCCATTTCTTATTTCTGCCCCTACCCCTTGTTATCGAGGGTCTCCTTGCCCCCTGGAACTGAGTTACAGGGGTAGTGGTTGAAATCTTCCTCTCTGAAATGGGACCCTCAAATAAAAAGAGCATCACTTCATTAACAGCTACCAGCGCTGCTCTGTAGGCGACCCTGCCAGTCTGCAGTGCCAGCAGAGGAGGGTAAAGTTCAGCTCCTCACTGCTGGGCTTTAGTTACATTTAGGGCATCATATGATCTTCAAAGAGGGGGGCAATTATTTATTATCACCCACCCCTAATTCTTCAGTGATATGAAGCTGAAGTCAGATATTCACCAGCTTCTTGTTTGAATTTTCCTGTTCCACCTTAAATGGAGCACTAATTGTGACGCCTGAGGTGCCAGAATGTAACTGCTGCACTATTTAAGGTGGAACGGGGAATTTAGCTAGCTATCATCAGCAAACTACTAGCAATATTTTATGTTTGTTATGAAGAAAAGGACCATAATACAGAAGTATTATGTTAGTGTTAAAGATAACATAGTGGTTATTGTCATTTTTAACAGAGTAAATTCTCACATTTGTGGGTTTCTTTGGTCTCTTGTTCAGCCGTCTTGCCAGTTTTTCTGTTTTTCTTCATAACACTCTGTTTGGAGTCTCTGAAAAACCTCTGTTTGGAGGGCCATGTAGCCCCAACACTTCACCCTACCCCTCTATCTCAACAAGAATCTGGACACCCTACTCCTAGACATGAACGCGCAAAATGGAGTGATAAGGGCTAAATGGTTGGGTGAAATGGGATTGGGCCAAAGAGAAGAGTGAGAGAGAGTTAGAAAGAGGTAGAGAGAGACAGAATGAGAGGGAGAGAGAGAGAGAGAGAGAGTGTGTTGTACACAGTACAGTACAGGAAAGCTGACACAGACAAAGTATGATGGAGTGTGTGTGTGTGTGTAGACTGGCATTACCGGAGCTGAGCACATAAACATTCAGCAGCACAGCTTAAATGAAACATATCCCTTCACATTCAGAGAGAGAGAGAGAGAGAGAGAGAGAGAGAGAGAGAGAGAGAGAGAGAGAGAGAGAGACACTTTGGCTAATGATAAGAGGAAGCTTTTACAGCCTCGGACACACAGCAGAGCGGTCAGTCATTAGAGACACAGCAGCACTCAGACCAGAGAGAGCTGTCAGTGGGGCATGCAGAGATAAAACCACTGCAGTCCAGAGCCAGGAGGAAGAAGACTGAGCATCAACAGAGACGTCACAGCGCCATATGAAATGCATGAGATGTTAAATGAGAAAAGCTGCAGAGTTTTAATAAAAGCTAACAGCGTCTTTGGGGAATATGACGTTATACTATGCACAATCAGGGCTGAGTATAGATACTGAGTATCAAAAAACTCTGATACGATACCAATTCCGATACCTTGATTTCAGTACCCATTTCTGAACCCTACTTTTTCCAAAACCATACTTAAACTACACAGTGGGTGCGGCTTAAAACAGAAATGAGTGGATGTGGGTGTCGTTACTGACTGATCAAGAAGGGCTCACGCTAATAAGATGTTTACAGATTGTAACTTAGCCAATCAGCAGCCTCGATTTTGGAACAAGCTTGCTTACTGGCCAAGATAGAGTACTTGGGTATTGAAATCTAGTATCAAATGACAGAATTTTTCTGTATTTTGTAGTAGAAATGCACCAACAGCTCTTTCTCCCTTCCGATACAATACCTGATCCTTCAGTATCGGCCAATAACAAATATCGACACTACCAATACTAATTTTATCCATCCCTACTAGCTTAAAAGTCCTGATATTTATAACTATTCTACTTTTTAAATGTTTTATTTTGGTAAAAGCTGTGCTCCGTGGCACAAAATAAACATACCAATCCTGAATGAAAGGCATTTACTTGTTTACCTGGTTTTATAAATTTATATAAAAAACTTTTATAAATTATAGTTTTAAATTTTAGATATTTAACGTTTAAGATACACACATCAACTACTCTGTCTCTGAAAAATTGGTGCCGAGTGTTGTTTCTTGTCCAAATTTCTTGAGTTATATCAAAACCGATACCTGCTCAAGTATCGGCCGATACCAAGTACCAATACTAACGCTCTCTAACTTATCTAGCCTATAAGTCCTGATATTTATACAATTCCATTTTATAACTTTCTTATTTTTGGCAAACGTTGTGTTCTGTGTCACTAATAAAACATACCAAGCTTGAAAGAATGGCATTCACTCACTGGATTAATAAATCAGTAATAGGAACTACATTTTACAACAAACGCAAAATGTTTTTATTGTGTAAAATCATTAAAAACACAACTAAACAATCGTATGTCCTGTACTTAGATCTCTGAGCGCCAGGCTCTGCTGAAGTTCAGTAAATATCACAGTCATTCCGCTAACAGTAGTGGCGGTTGAGCTGAGGATTTCTTGGCTTAGTTGAAGTAAAAGGCTGCAGTACCGCGCCACTGTGTGATACAACTGACCGACGCAAGTGCATCACGAGCAGGCCGAGGGGACACACAGGCCCAGCTAGCGGGCTGCTATTCTAAAGGCTAAACGAAGGCTAAAGGATATCATCACCCCAAAAGATTGGCTCCTCTTTCCATATATCTCTTTAATGTTCACTAACAACCTGGACTAACATTAACCTCTTAAGCTCGTGGGTATATTTCGGTTTTTCCATCTGAATTTTCATGCCCAAATCGTAAGGCCAATTATTCAGTAACTGCATGAAAAAAATGTACATTTTTAGTTTTTGTTTTGTAGAAGTTCCCCTCAAATTAACTGAAAATGTGTTTTATGATCATACATGTATTGCTATATGCTTACAATTTACTGCTAGAAGCCAAAAATCTTAGATGCTTTGTATTTTTTTTATTAAAATATTTTTTTTACAGAGCAGATCACTGAAGAGACGCCATCTGAGATCCAGTTTGTAGCTCAGATTTGTGGATAAAGCTGTCATCTTTCAGTAGGAAAAAAGTTCAGCTTCTTTTATTATAAAGTTTTAAAATTACATCACCCATCTATCTGACTGGGAAGATGAGAGTTACAGCTCTCATATGACGCCCACCATTTGAATGAAGCTTATAAAATATGAAAGTTATGAAGTAAAGAATATGACGAAGTGCATTTTGGAACCACCAGTGATTACAAGGAGTTAAAAAGGTTTAACTCACACTGCAACTGACCACACAGCAGTAGATGAGGAATTTCTGAAAGAAGTGCTGTTAAGTTCCATGCACAGGTCACTTAGTAGCGCGCATGCATATCAGAAATACCCTATTTGTTAGCACTGAAGTAACTCAGTCAGTACCATAATGGTATCAACACCCAACCCTACGCACCACGCAGTCATTTTAAAAATCAAACTGTTTTTAAGCTAATTTAATCTTAAAATACACTGTTTGCCAGCCCTGGAAGGATCCATCCTCCAAAGCATCTTTTCAAACTGCCACTAATACAATGTCATCAGACAGCTCAACACGCTTGGAGGAGAACCCTAACTGCCAATTCCGTTACGCTAGCCAGCAGACATTCACATTGGCTAGCACTGTGCTGACTGACGGGGGCGAGGGAGTACCACCCTATCCACCTAGAGAGAGTGAGGATAATTGTACTTTCTTGGTCTTTCGGTCACAGATGGTTGTAGCATGGTTTGAGCTGGGGATGAAACTCCCTATCTTCTGACTAGAGGGCCAATACTTCAATAATTTAGGCAGATATTAGGGTACCAAATGACAGTTTGCTAAATTCGGACAAGTCCATCAAAATTTTAGCACAGGCTACCTGGTCGCATCCTTGGCACTCGTGCTAACTGATTAAAAAGTTTTGGAACAAGGAAAATTTGGAAGCCTATATAATTTTAACAATCAAAAATAAACTGGGTACAAATTGGCAAAATTTTCAGTGCAGAAAAATGTGCTTGAAAACTGACAAAATACGAACGTAGGCTGATTAACAGCAAAACAGGGATTCGGAAACCTTGATTACATTAATCAAACCAGGAAATCTTTTAGCAACTGGACGTTAAAGTGCTCCGTTTTCATGTCTAAAAAGGAGATCTGAATTACATTCCTCAGTATCACCTTTCCATCATTTCTCAGTCTAATAATCTGGACTAATTTGCTGCCACTGCCGTTCTCACTGCAGGTTTCTTCTCCTGAGGAGTTCAGCTGGAATTTTTCCTTCGCTTGTCAGAGGAAGTGCTTGGAGACGACTGTGATTGAAAGGCGAGTCAATCAGTATTTCGTAAATGGTTATTCCACTGTCATATCAAAAAAGGGTAGCATCTCTAGCATGATTTACCATTTTTTTAAACCTAGACTAGCTTTTTAAACGGAAAGCTTTGATTCGTTTCAGGGTTAATTTGCGCCTGGAAAAGCGGCCTGTTTACCAGTTCCTGTTATTTCAACTCTGCAGAGCAGATAATGAGAGTCAGTGAGATCATACAGGCCAGCCAGCCTCACTGATGTTAAAAGGAAGCTCCAAACCACAGGCTAAGAACAGCTTTGCGTGTGTGTGTGTGTGTGTGTGAATATACCTGCAGTTCCTCGTCACAGCCGCAGGCTTGAAGAGACAGAGAGTTCAGTTCAGCACAGAGTGGAACACCATCAGATCAGAAATAAACAAAATCAGACATAAAAAATGAAATGAAATCATAAGCTATCAGCTCACTGCATCATTTCTATACTTGGCTTGGCTGGATGTTCATTTGCGTGGCTGGTGACTTCAGCTGTGTTTGTGTTGACACATGGCATTCCCACATGGCATTCCCACATGGAAACCAGAGCTCCAAATCAGAAGTAGACATCACCATGGCAACGTTTATGCAGTCAGATACTGCTGCTGCTGTTTAATGTTAAAAACGTAACGGTTTTCCTTCCATACACTGTAGAAGGTATTAGTCTCTGAATTACATGTTTCAGAGTGAAGCAGCATGAATTAGAGTGTCTTCAACTGGTGATAGGTGGGAGTGGTGGGAAGGTGATATTTAAGGAATAGAACACAGAGGGAGTGTGTTATCGCAAAATAACATCATGGCTGTGATTTGGTCGCCGTAGATCATCACAGCCGTGATGTTATACGCATTAACACACTCCCTCGAGTGTTCTATTGCTTTTATACTACAGTTAAATAAATAAAGTAATAAATTAATAAACTGGGTCGTGAACGCGGCGTTTAATATGTTTTAATGTTCGCAGTTCCTTCACCAAATTATAGTTCCTTAACAAGCAGCTTGTTGCTGCGTCAGAGTAACGAGCTCCGCCCACTCGCTGCACAGCCGGCAGTTCGTTCTCCAGCTCCTTACACTAAATTCCCAAACTGTCATCACCACTGAGCAGCTTTTCAGTCGGCAGCTGTGACAGAAGAACAGCTAAACAACCTGGAATCAGCCAGAAATGAACCAAACACCATTCGCCAAACATGTAGTCTGATCTTCAGAGTCTGATGAAATCAGACTGAGCCACAAAACTGCCGCAATATCAAGTTCAGCTCAGTTTTGTCAGTTTTTGCCAGATCAGTATTAATGTTGTTTTGTTCCAGCCAGTCTGTAAAGCATCTTACATCCCGTTTAGTTTGGCGAATGGTATTGGGTTCATTTCTGGCTGATTCCAGGTTGTTTAGCTGTTCTTCTGTCACAGCTGCCGACTGAAAAGCTGCTCAGTGGTGATGACAGTTTGGGAATTTAGTGTCGTCTCATCTTCAGAGTCTGACCAAATCGGCTGTCGGTCAAATATGATCTTAAAAGTGTCCATTTTCTGTTTGTGGCAAAGTAAGAAGTAAAAACGTTCAAATGGCTTGAGCGTCTCCTACAGCTGTCAAAGTCGTTGCTTAGCACTCAGCAGAGTGATACAGTGATACAGTGTTTATGAAAAAAATGTTATGGTGAAATAACAGCACAGTTAGAACGCTTCTCAACCAATCAGCTTGTGCAGCCGGAACTAACTGTTGTATAATACACAATATCATTGGTTAAAATTATACTTTCCCACCCGGTGGAGGCAAAAAGGCACCACACAAATAAAAAAAAAGTCTTAAATAATAAATCATGAATAAATAAACGAATGAATAAATGAATAAATGACCAGGGACATGAACCAACAAGGAGAACAATTTTGTCAATTTTGATTTAAGGTTGACAGTTTAATGCTAATTCTGCAATGAAGCATGACTGTGGGAACTTAGCTGAGCTATGCTTTTAGGCTACTACTTACCAGGCCAGTAAGTGCAGGAGCTGACCAAACTGAGAGTTACATCAATCAACACTTAGGCCCAGTTCCATTTCTTTTTATCCCTACCCCTTGTTTTTGAGTGTCACCTTAACCCCTTGGAACTGAGTTATAAGGGGTAGTGGTTGAAATCTTGCCCTACGAAATGGGACCCTCAAATAAAAAAAAATAAAAAAACATGACTTCATTAACAGCTACCAGCGCTGCTCTGTAGGCGACCCTGCCAGTCTGCAGTGACAGCAGAGGAGGGTAAAGTTCAGCTCCTCACTGCTGGGCTTTAGTTACATTTAGGAAATCTTATGCCTTCAAAGAGGGGGGCAATTATTTATTATCACCCACCCCTAATTCTTCAGTGATATGAAGCTGAAGTCAGATATTCACGACGAATTTTCTCGTTCCACCTTAAATGGAGCAGCAGTTACATTCTGGCACTTCAGGCGTCAGAACGGCTGGACTATTTAAGGTGGGACGGGAAAGTTAGCTAGCTAGCTACCAAGACATTGGCATGCTACTAGCGATTTTTATGCTTGTTATGAACAAAAAAGGACCAAAATACACTGAAACTACAGTAAACTAAGATAATACAGTGGTTATTGTAATTTTTTAATGGAGAAAATTCTCACATTTGTGGGTTTCTTTGGTCTCTGGTTCAGCCATCTTGCTGGTTTTTCTTCTTTTCTCATAACTCTCTGTTTGGAGCCACTGAAACACGTCCGTTTGGTGGGTCATGTAGCCCTAACGCTTTGCCCTACCAACAAAAACTGGGATACCCTAACCCTAGACGTGAACGCAAAAAACAGAGGGCTAAGGGCTAAGTGGTAGGGGCGAGGGGTGAAATGGGATTGGGCCTTACTACTAAAAAGAAAAGCCTTCAAGTATTTGTGATAGACACCAGTGACGAGCGCTGTAAAAGGCAGGCCTGTGCTTAATTAGCCAGTACCTTGTGAGGTAAACTCTCTGTTGTTACAGTAGCACGGCTTGTGCTTTTCAATAGGTTCTACTACACAGATAAGGCAAATCAGTTCCAACGGTCAAATTTCACATCAGCTGCAAACACGGGTCAGCAAAATGACAACACGCAATTGTCATGGTGGGCACAAGACGACTTTTTGAGCATATGGCCAGCTGAATGTTTCATCAAAAACACATAATAGAGAGTCTGTACAAACTGTTCATCTATTAAAGGGCAATTTTTTTTATATATACAGTATATGGAGAAAAGTATTGGGACACCTACACATTACACCTACAGAAGCTTTTATATCCCTTTCTAAACCCATAGACATTAATATGGAGTTGGCCCCCCCTTTGCAGCTACAACAGCTTCCACTCTTCTGGGAAGCTTTCTACAAGATTTTGGAGAGTGTTTGTGGGAATTCTTGCCCACTCATCCAGAAGAGCATTTGTGAGGTCAGAGACTGATGTTGGATGAGAGGGTCTGGAGCACTATCTCTGTTCTAGTTCATCCCAAAGGTGTGTGATGGGGTTGAGGTCAGGGCTCTTAGAGGGCCAGTCAAGTTCTTCCACACCAAACTCACCCAGCCATGACTTTATGGACTGTGCTTTGTGCACTGAGCCATGATGGAACAGAAAAGGTTCTTCCCCAAACTGTTCACACAAAGTTGGAAGCATATAAATGTCCAGAATGTCTTGGCGCTGAAGCATTAAGATTCCCTTCGCTGGAACTAAGGGTTCTAGACCAACCCCTGAAAAACAACCCCATATCATCATCCCTCCTCCACCAAACTTTACAGCTGGCACAGTGCAGTCAGGCAGGTAACGTTCTCTTGGCATTCACCAAACCCAGACTCGTCCATGAGACTGACAGATAGAGAAGTGCGATTCATCACTCCACAGAATATGTTTTCATAATGCTCCAGAGTCCCACTGCAAGGCTATGTGCTTAATTTTATCCACCTGTTAGTAATGGGCGTGTCTGAAACATCTGAACTCAATAAATAGAAGGGGTGTCCCAATAGTTTAGTGTATTTAGCGCATGTACATACATTTTATATAAATGTATGTAAGCACAAAAAACAGTGTTTTCAAAATGGCCTGTTTTTCCACTTATTTTCCATGTATGGAAGTAAACGGTACATTTTACATGTTTATGTATTAATTTGTTTTTATACTACAGCAAATTATTTAAAAATAAAATGAGGAAAGTGTGGTTTTCCATCATACAAGATTTCTAAATAATTCAACTGCTGTAAGTTAAACATAAAGTCTTTCAGAGTAGATTGGTGTGAAATCATTGTATAAAAAAATGACTCACTCTAAATTCCTTTACAGTGGTGGTGATAGGAACCAGGAGTCAAAACGACCACACAAATACAGCCATTTCATTTACTATCTAAAAACAACAAGTGAACCTTCATATCTTCTGAGTTTTTTAATGTTGACGATAGCAGAATAGTGCATAATATGAATTAATCGGTTTTCTTTTGGGACTATTTTGCAGTACAATGCCATTCACACACCTCTCATTTTAAAAATACATTTTAGACCAAAACCTTGAGTCATAAAACAACGTGACCTCAAATCAAACCATTCTGAATGACTTTAATTATATAGACGTTTTGAAAAATAGGTGGAATATCCCTTTAAAAAACTCTCGAGAGTATTATAATATTATATTTTTGCCATGTTGACCACCTCTGGTTGCAGTTTACAGTTGTGGATGCCCCTGGCTGATGACGAAGATCAGCCTCTATGACGAAGATGGGAGCTCCTTGACTCTGACTTGATGTGATAAGGGGGTGGTCACAGATAGGGCTGTCTCTTGCTGACCAGTGATTTGGGGAAATCAATGCAGAATGATGTGAATCAGCACTTTAGTGCATATTGATGTGAGCGTGAGGCTGTTTTTGGAGACAGAGGCCACGTTGCACAAGAGATCAGATCACACACACACACACACACACACACCAACAAACACAGAGCATAACACACTGACACACTTTCCTAACAGGGGCTAAGCATATCTCTTTAAATACACAGAGGGCAATGATACAGCAGAGCAGAATGAATGGGTTCATTAAGACTCACAGTGGATGTATAGCTAGATGACCAGGTCAGCATCCCAACACTGTTTAGCTCACGTAGATACACCGCTGATAAGCTTACAGTGACACCTTATTTGGCTTCTGACCAATCCTACTTAGCTAGCTAGCTGGCTAATAGATAATGTACGTAGCTCATGAATAATTCATGAGCCTCCTGCAGTAATATGACTAAACTGTGGACAGTTATTGAAGCGAAGGGGTGATATGTTGTCCATTTTACCAGCTGTAAGGTTACACACGATAAAGAACGAACTCGAGAGAACATAAAGGTGACATTTATGAGAAAGTTTCCGTTATATTGTCACATTTATGTGGTGGGGCTGAGTTAGCACGCTTTGCTAACGCTTTAACTTAACGAATCTCCCTTTCGCCGCTCTGTAAAGCTGAGGACTTAAACGTGGACGTGGCGTTTTATATAAAAAAGAATGGAAAACGAGTGGAAATATGCAGACTTACCACTGTTTACTCCTCTGACCAGCTTGCCGGAGGCGAGGCTCTCAGACTTCGGCTGGAGCGAGTGAGTAGGATGGGGATGAAGTCATCAAAACACTGAAATCAGCGGACTGCAGTGGGCTGCCCAGCCCTTGGAGGGCGGGGCTACAGGATGACTGACAGCACGATATACACACGCAGCCCCGGCTAGAGGCGGGGCTAAAAATGACTCACAACACGTTGTACCCACGGAGCCCCCCGCCAGAGGCGGGGCTAAAGAATAACTGCCAACACGTTGTACCCATGCAGCCCTGGCCTGGAGGCGGGGCTAATGAATGATTGACAGCGAGGTGCTTAGGTTGACAGGCCCTTAGAAGCGCAGCTTCATGATCACTGACAATAAGACGTGCGTACGCTGGGGGCGGGGCTAATGAATGATTGACAGCGAGGTGCTTAGGTTGACAAGCCCTCAGAAACGCAGGCTTCATGATCACTGGCAAGAAGACGTGCTTACGCTGGGGGCGGGGCTTTGGAAGGGCTAAATGTAGGTTGTCTATGCGTTTCAGCCCTTAAAGGGGAATTCCACCGTGTTTTAAAAATTTCTGCATAATTCAATCGTTGAGATGTAAATTCAGAGGGGTTTGAAGGGAAATGGTTCACTGTAGAGAAACTTACCAATTTAGGATTTAATTTTCTTTACAGTGGGTTTTTTATGACCTATCCAAACCAACAGTGAGCCTGTTTTTATAATGTTGATGATGGTAAAACAGTAATTTTTTTTGGACTACTTTGCCTTACAACATTGTGCATGTTCACCAACAGACTTACACAGGACAAAACGTATCGGGTCCTGAACATTTTTATTTAACACAGGGGGCGACAGAGGCGATTTTTCGTAAACCCTATTTATAGACCACTGTAGTCCTGTCGTCATTCTGTAGTTGGCGCCATGTTCTTATGCCCATATTAGGAACTCCGGGTCTGAGCTCCATTTCTCTTTGGCCAGAATGTATAGGGTTTTCTAAAAGTCGCCTCTATCGCCCCCTGTGTTAAATAAAAATGTCCAGAACCCGATACGTTCTGTCCTGTAAACGTTCTCCTCTCGAATACCACTGGATCCTCTGAATTACGAGCTCGTTAAAGAGTTGAAATATGAATATTGCTACAGGTGAGCTAAAGCTACTGCGCACTGAATTCACCTCATTAGACTGGCAGCCTTCTTAATCAGGTTATCACCCCCTAAAAACTGATTTCGGCTCTCAGAATATCCTCATTATTATTTTAATGCTGGTAACAGTTTTCTGAGGACACTTTCTCAGGACATACGTCAGCTTTGTGTACAGAATATCATTTTTCATCACTTTGTGCGACTTTTCCATTCCACCTTGAGTGGTGCAGCAGTCATGTTCTGAACTGCTGCGCCATTTAAGGTGGAACGGGTAAATTCGAAAAAGCAGCCGGTGAAAAAGCAGCTGACTTCAGCTTCATGGAGGGTTGAAAGGCCTGATATGAGGAGGTTTCTCTACTTCTGCTTAACAGAGTAACATTAACTTATTTCTGCTGTTTCACAGAACCGACAGGTCAGTGTTTTGTCTCGTTTGCTAATGTTTGTGAAGGCTAGTCACAGATGCTGCACCATTTAAGGTGGAACGGGAACATTCAAACAAAAAGCTGCGACAAAAGCAGCTAAATTCAGTCTCGTAGTTTTAACACGGGTAATATTTTTGATAAATAGTTTTAGTCTATCAGAATATCCCACCTAGAGGTTTTATTTACGGGTATACCTGTAAATAGGAGCTACGGTAGAACATTTCGTTAAGGTAGCACAGCTCGTCAGAGCAGCGCCACAGCCCGCCTTATCTTAGTGACATCAAATTGATGCGCGTAGCTTTAGCTCGCATGTAGCTATAATAGTATTATAGCTCTTTAATGACCTCGTAATTCAGAGGATCCAGTGATATTGAGAAAAATGTTCACAGGACAAAAACGTGTCGGGTTCTGGACATTTTTATTTAACTCAGGGGGCGACAGAGGAGATTTTTCCAAAACCCTATTCATTCTGCCCATAGAGAAATGGAGCTGAAGACCCGGATTTCCTAATATGGGCATAACGAGGACCACAGAATGATGCACGACTACAGTAGACTATACAGTTTCTCAAGAGACTTAAGGTGGAACGGGAAAATTCGCACAAGAAGCCTGTGAATAAGAAGCTAACTTTAGCTTCTTAGACAGTATCCTTCTTAAACTGCCGCTCTGTAATGGAACTGAATGCAGTCCAGCAGCGACGTTGACGTGCCTGGCTGGACCCAACGCTGGTTGAAGGTACCTTCATCACAAAGCTGCCTCCTAAGGCACTGTTCTCATGAGATGGGCGGCAAAGCACGCTCAGACAACTCATGCTGCTTAGCCCTCGGAGGCTTATGGAATGATTCCTGTATCCTGTTATACAGGGACTAAAACTGTCAAACAAGATAACTACACTCAAAATGACAGAATAAAAAATGTTTAATGGTTCTTAAACCAGAATGCATTAATACATCATTACATTGCATAGTGGTTAAAGGACAGTAAGACTTCCTGCTACCTCTGGAAAAGAGCACCTCTACACACCCACACACCATTTGAAAAACAAAATCCATAACAAAACCATGCACTTTTAATCAAAAGTAAACAGCGAGAAGGTAAAGTTGGCCAATGTCAGATTTGGTACGATTTCACCAGAAACAGATCTTAATCCCTCAGTAGCAGCTATGGCAGCACTTCCATTGTATCAAGCCTTCTCTAAATTACTGGAATGACATTTTTCACCATAATTATTCGACCTTCAGCCTGAGAAGACCATTGCACATGTTCCACTTGGAAGCTCCTAACTCCAAGACCACCTGAATTGAGTACAAGAACTCCCTAGGTTAGTTACAAGGGCTTTTCTCATTATCATAATTACAATATGATAAAATCACATCAATGTTAAAATATCACAATACAGATTGTTTTGAACAAACCGAATACAAAGTGTCGTTCACTTTCAAAAAGTTACTATTACAAGCACAGCATAAATGTAGTTTTCATTTATTCTCAATTGCTTTGGCACAAATCTCAACACATCTGATTTGCATAACAGTTCACACCCCTGTAACAGCAGATGGTTCTGCATAAAATCACAGCCAAACACTGTGGCACCCATTTTCTTATCACTCGTACACAATACTGGTCAAGGGTCAAGATACAGGTCTGACTTGAAACTTGCCTTTTAAATTTCTATTATTTCCCTATTCAAAACTACTATAGGCACTCAGCACAGGAGAAATACTGGAACGTCATGGCGTCGTCATATGTGCAAGATTACAGCCAGTGTGTCCCAATTCGGGGGCTGGATCCTTCGAAGGACACGGTCTACGAAGGCGTGTCCTTCAAAGGCTGCTTAGACCCGTGAAGGCTGAACCAAGTTTTTTAAAGTTCTTTAAAGACAGAGCCACAGTTATTTATTTTTTCCTTTTTTTTTCATGTATTAGAGCTGGACATGCCTTACCGCCGGATGAGATTGTTTTTTTTGTTCTTTTTTTACATTTGTATCGTTAGCTCTTCGCCTCAGTTTAAACCTAATACTTATATTTAAAAGTGTACTCGTCACCTGCTGTTCGCTTCTCTCTTGATGCCGCCGTTTTCCTGAATCCTCCCCGGCACGCAATGAGCCTCGGGATATGTTGGCTAGTGAAGGATCCACCCGTCGGATCCTTCATTGCCATGGAAAAGAAGGACACATTTCTCGGCCGAATATGAAGGAGCCTTCGAAATGGGACAGCCTAGTCGCGGATATGAGTCCTATTTCAAATGCAGCCTCTGAAGGACGCAGCCCCTGAATTGGGACGCAGCCCCTGAATTGAGACGCACTGTGTGGTTTTGGCTTGTGAAACTGTTGTGAAAATATGAAGCGCAAGAAGTATGTTAAAGCAACTGAGAACGTTCAATAATCGTGTCTTAACTTGTCCACTGTCTTCAGGAGGACGTCCTTTAGACCATAGTTAAGCACAGCCACTGAAAAAGACAAGAAAAGAGACAGAGAAAGAGAGGGAGGATGTGTAAATGAACCACAGACATTTCCATTGTGTTGATCTGTGAAACGTCTGTGTCTGACTAACCTGAGTCAAGTCCACCTCTATGGAGCCGCTGTTGTGTGCGTCAATCTTCTTAAACATTCCTGAATTTGAGAAGAAAGGAAATACAAATGTACAATAAATACGATATTTATCGTTATGGTGAAAAGTTCAAGCCTTTCTTTGCATGTCACGTTTATCGTCAGTACTTAAAAACTTTTCAACTGCACGTTTATCACAAAGAGAGCGTTATTAGTCCTGTTAACTGCCTTTGTGCAGTGAAGTATGTGAATAAATTAAAAATCAAATAACTGGATTTGTGGTTTTTTGATAATATTTTTGGAAATGTGGAGCTACTTTGAATGTCCCAGCTTACCAGATGCCAAAAAATAAATAATAAGACTTGATATGTATAAACTTCCTGAAGTGTCATGATATGTTTTTGCCACATTGCCCCATTTTTCAAGATATTATACATGTTTAAGACAAAGTGAAATGCCACTCAATAAAGTGATCTTTATTGCTTGTTATTATCTACTGAGAGGTACTGAACGGAATCCCACTCACGGAACATCATCTCCAGACGCATGAGGCAGGCCACGAAGTCATCGAAGTCAATGGTGAGGTTTGAATCAGCATAGCGTGCCACTAACAGCTGGAAGATGGTATCATTCAGGCAGAATCCTGTTGAAGGAGAAAAGATTATATATGTGTGTGTGTGTGTGTGTGTGTGTGTGTCTATCTATCTATCTATCTATCTATCTATCTATCTATCCATCCATCTCTCTCTCTCTCTCTCTCTCTCTCTCTATCTATCTATCTAAATGCCCAAACATACTTGGGGAAAAAAGGAATAACTGTACAGGACCAATGAAAAATTGTACTTTACTTTTAATGCAACTTAATATACTTTTTTCCCCCAAGTATTTTTGGGCTGAACAATGGCAAAAATGGAGATGGAGAGGTTTTGTTCTGGCATACTGACAGCAGTAAAAAAAAAATAAATAAATAAATAAATAAATAAATAAATATATATATATATATATATATATATATATATATATATATATTATTCAGTCCATTTTAAATGAGCTTTGGCCCAGAGAAGATGGCAGCATTTCTGGATCGTGTTGACATATGGCTTCTTCTTTGCATGATACAGCTTTAACTTGCGTTTGTGGATTGCACGGTGAACAGTGTTCACAGACGATGACTTCTGGAGGTGTTTCTGAGCTCAGGCAGTGATTTCCAGTACAGAATCAGGCCTGTTTTTAATGCAGTGCTGCCCGAGGGCCTGAAGATCATGAGCATCCAATATTGACCGTCGGCCTTGTCCCTTGTGTACAGGGATTTCTCCAGATTCTCTGAATCTTTTGATGATATTCTGTACTGTAGATGGTGGGATTTCCAAAGTCTTCACAATTTTACATTAAGGAAAATTTTTCTGAAATTTTTCCACAATTTTTAGACGCAGTTTTTCGCAGATTGGTGAACCTCTGCCCATATCTGCTTCTGAGAGCCTCTCTAAAATGCTCTTTTTTTTTTACTCAGTCATGTTGCAAATTGCTCCTCCAGCTGTTTTTTTATTAGTACCACTTGCTTCTCCAGCCTTCTGCTGCCCCTGCCCCAACTTTTTTGAGATGTGTTGCTGCCATCAAGTTCTAAATAAATATTTTTCATGATATGGTAAAATGTCTCACTTTCAACATCTGATATGTGTTCTATGTTCTATTGTGAATAAAATGTGTGTCTATGAGATTTACAAATCATTGCATTCTGTTTTTATTTACATTTATTTACACTTTACACAGCATCCCAACTTTTTTGAAATAATGGTTGCACTTTATGCAATATAATCAGTATTAAGCTTATTAAACTTGGTACTTTGAAATTGGTGCGCCAGTCTGTTAAATGTATTGTTCAATACCTGTGGAAATTAAAGTGAGAGGCTCGTATTGACCATTACAGTATATAACAGTGTATGGAGACAGGTTGGTGTAATATTATGTATGTATTCCTGTACCCTAGGCCTTCCTTCCTTCCTTCCTTCCTTTCTTCTTCTGACTGACTCAGCTTGATGTAAGTAGCAAAAAGCTGTGTGTGTGTACCAACTGAGTGTGTGAATGGTGGTCATGTGATGGATATGGGCCAACACTTGACTCACCCGCTTCCTTCAGTGCCAAACGCAACTCTGGAGTGCTGATAGTCCCAGAATTATCCAAGTCGTTCTTCTTGTAGATTCCCTATAAGGGACAACAAAAAACACGTTTATTACAACTATTAGTTGTAAAACTGCACAGGAGCTATAAGGCTAATGTAGCTAACAAGTTACTTGCAGTAGTCACAGCCACCCTGAAGCCTGAATTTTGCCTCTATGTTTTTCCAATTTCATTGATGTATCAACATGTGAGGACTTTGCAAGACACTAACTGACAGGATAGGCTACCTTTACTTGTTATCAATGTTAGCATGATAGCTTAAGTTCAAAACTAGAGAAAAAAAAACTTCAGACATGGAACTGGAGACTGATTAAACGATTATCCGTTAACCGCAAAAGAAACTTGTTCATCAATTGTTCATTAATGCTATCAATTAAACAATGGTAACTTTATTTCATTTCCAATAAACAACAGCTCCTATTTGAACGGGTGGGTTTATCATTCAAGTCAAGCAACCTGTTTGAACTGCATTGGAGTTCTGAATTTGAACTGGTTCAGCTAATAGGCCTACTAAAAATGAAAAACAGCTAGAAATTATAGACAAGAACTACTAAAATGATGGACCACACTGAAAGACGACTACTTTGTCCATGATAAGAAAGTGCGATGTACGGCAGTGTGAGGAAATCACACATCTGTGTGAAAAATGATAGAGAAGCGCATGGTGGACGATGACTGCTTTCGAGAGCTACTGAGGTACACTGAGGGCTAGCTAGCAACTCAGGCTAACAATAAGTGGTAAATCCTTTGCAACTTTATGTAATATAAAACTTCCAAACAGCCCAAATAGTCCTGAACATACAGTAGTCAGCCCCTCGGCTTGAAACAGTAGATGTGTGTGTGTTCGTAAGTGTATATAAAGGATTTTACCATGGCTTCTAATACGGCTCAGCCAATCAGGTTTCAGAACCAAAAATATGCATTTTATAACTGATATTCTGATGGGTCGGGTTCTTGGTTTTAGGCTTGCCAGTTAATGATTAATCGCCGTCTAATGCCAGTTGGTCATCAGTCAAACAAATTTGACAAAATTTCATTCACTACACCAACAACATGCGGGTCTGGAGCCTCATGCGGCTCTTTTACTGCCCTGTTGTGGCTCCACAGCAGAATTAGATTGTAGATTAAAAATAAAATAATCCTCCTTTATAGTAAAATAAAGCTCTGCTGATTGTTCAACACAGTTTAATGGTCTTAAACTCTGGAGTTAATGTAGAACTGCTTATTCACCCTTTAACCCTGAAGATCAACGCAGACTGCTGGTCACCATAGCAACACAGACAACACCTAGCTAACGGAAAGGCAAAGAGAAAGATTTAAGACGAACTTCGATAATTTGGAGACGAATTAACTTTTTGCATTTATAATCACTCCAGTTGGTTTCCTGATACGTTTCATCTGCAATGAGAAACTGACAAACACTAAAAAGTCACGAAGCTGAAGTCAGCCTCTCGTTTAAATTTTCAAAAATTTCGTCCAAGAAGCTGGCGAATGAGTGGCGACTCCAGCCTCATAAAAAAATCAAACGTTGAGAGATATTTTACAAGAAACTCTTCTACTTTTGTGTTAATCTAATTTTTTTGCCAACCTACCGCTTTAACCAAAGATATTCATCTCCTAATAAAAAAGCAGTTCAAGCACTAAAAGAATGATGATCTAGAATTTGTTTCACAACCTAATCAACATCACAGCACAGCTAATTAAAGAGCTGGTTTGAAATCAGTGCATTTACATTAATATAGACCTTCAGAGCAGAAAAGCTTGTTCACCAGCTAGAAAGCTACAAAAACACTTTCTGTGCCTGGATTTGTCCCTGTTTATTCAGTATGTCGGACTCTGTATCAGTGCTTTGTGTGTCTTACCAAGTATTTCTGCACTTTCTTCCACAACGTAGCGAACTCGCCCAGGCCCAGCTTCCCATCACCGCTGTCCTGAGTGTGAGTCAAGGGAAACATTGAATATGACCAGATATATGGGCTTCAACACCAATTAGTCATAACATTATGACCACCTCCTTGTTTCTACGCTCATTGTCCATTTTATCAGCTCCACTTACTATATAGGTGCACTTTGTAGTTCTACAGTTACAGACTGTAGTCCATCTGTTTCTCTGATACTTTGTTAGCCCCCTGTGGTAGTGGTGTGTTAGTGTGTGTTGTGCTGGTCCGAGTGGATCAGACACAGCAGTGCTGCTGGAGGTTTTAAACACTGTGTCCACTCACTGTCCACTCTGTTAGACACTCCTACCTTGTCAGTCCACCTTGTAGATGTAAAGTCAGAGACGATAGCTCATCTGCTGCTGCACAGTTTGTGTTGGTCATCCTCTAGTCCTTCATCAGTGGTCACAGGACGCTGCCCACAGGACGCTGTTGGCTGGATATTTTTGGTTGGTGGACTATTCTCAGTCCAGCAGTGACACTGAGGTGTTTAAAAACTCCAGCAGCACTGCTGTGTCTGATCCACTCAGACCAGCACATACCCAACATACAATTCAGTAACATTTCAACAACATTTGTCAGTTTTCTCTTTTTAGATCACGACGTGTGAAATAACTTCCCTCTGACTCACTTTCTTCTCTGACTGCTGTTTCTCGCCTCGTCCCTCCCCTGTGTGTGCATCACTCTCTCGAGTCTCAGTGCTGAACATAATGCACAGATCTGATTGGCTGAGCAGCGTCATGTGTGATATTTACAACGCATGCGATTGGTCTGTGAGTCTCCTGGGCCACTAAAGCTACCGTAAAGGCTGGAAAAGTTACGCTGATTAAAATAGGACCACCCCATCGAAATGAAATAATTCTCCAGAGTTTCTTGGTTACAGGTCCGGGTCCGCATAGGACAACATCTGGGTCCGGAATCGGACCATGGTCCGCCTATTAGTGACCTCTGATCTACATGATTCATGTGACATATCATTAAAACTGGTGAATTTCAACAAAAGGTGGAGAGTTTGCATGTAATCCTGCTAGTAATCACCCTGTTTTTCTGTCGTACCTGTAATCTAATTACTGTCTTTTTTCCTGTAACGGAATATTTTTACGATTTTTTCTATCCTGATTACGCAACACTGTTACATGTATTCCGTTACTACCCAACACTTGTCTTTGTTCATGCAACCGGATAGAATCAAATCTCGTGATGCAGCTTCACTGCAGTCATTCTCTAGTCAAAGTTCTGTTTTAGAAGAAGTGGTTGAAAAAAATTGCATGCAATATATATTTTAATGCATTTTTGTTGTAATAAAGTGTGTGTGTGTGGGGGAGGAAGCATATCCTAATAAAAAGTGGGTGTGTAGGAGTTCAATTTGCTCCGTTGCTCAAGTACCTACACAGAAATGTACACTCACGCACTTGGGAGAACCTGGAGAACCTGTTGACGACTCAATAAATCATGGGCTTGGTCTCAGTTTATGGCAGCTGCCATAATGGCCACAAGCAAGACACATGCGGCCAAGCAGAACAGCCCTTCAAAGCATAATACTGCATGTTTACGAACAGCTGAAAGGATACGTCCATGAGATTGACCAAGATCCGACAAGTGTCCAAGCTGAAGCCGTCTGTCTTAATGTCAGTTCCTAGAAGAGAGAAAAAAAGAAAGCAGTCAGGTGAGACGGAATCCTTTCATGCTCTGTTCAAGGCAAGATGAAAAGAGCATACATACGTTTCGCAATAATCTTGTTTAAGATCGTCTTGAGCTCCGCAGCAGAAATCAGCATATCCTGGAGGGGAGAGGCGGATGAGTCATTTCAACAGTATACACCCAAAAATTATGACATGGTTAAAAAAATAAAAGCAGGAAAGATTGACTAGGAAAAGCTGGTGCAAATCATGTTCTTGTGCTTTAATAACATGCAATTTTGGGTTAACATTAATTGCAAGTTTAACATTAACACGTTAAAGTTAACTCTCCTAGGATCCCCAATGAAAAAACCCTGTTCGGATTTTTTTCTCTGGTCGTGTTTGGATTGGATTATTTAATCAGGTGGATAAAAACTCACACGATAAAACTCACACGTCCAGTCGGCAATAACGTTACTGAAGGAAGGGTCAGTTCAGGGCTTTAATTTCTACTGACTTTGTTGTTTGCGTCACACATGGTCATATGATCACACTCCATTTGTGTGAAAAGTTGATGACATTGTCGGGACCGAGAGCTACCCCCTTCAGCCCCAGGCCTTGGATTCTGACTGAACACTTACACTAATAACTATTTTAACTTAAAGTTCTCAAAAAGTATCAAAATAGAAAGATGCTGAGTTCAAACGGCAAGTGGTCTCTGGAGACCCGACTGCAAAATACAATGTCCGAACAGCGCTTTTTATACCCTTTATCTGGGGTGGTATGATGTCACCCCATCCTTCTTTTTAGTTTTGATGTTCCATTTAGTCTCCATTAGATACAAAACCCCTTCATTACTTAGCCCCCCTTATTTCCCAATGGTGTACAACACTCCTTTTGAAAAAGCTGGTTTCATCCAATTCACACAAGTCCAGCCCATCCTACAAGGATCATTCTTATATAATATCAAACGAGTTCACAAAGTTCACTCAGACACCTGCATGTAAGTTCCGGGAGGTCACTAAGCTGGAATGCACAGTCTATGGCCTATTGCTTTTCGTAAGGCTACGTTCACATTACCAGGTTGAAGTGTCACAAATCTGATTTTTTGTCCTAATGTGTTTTCAGGGCTGTGTGGACACACAAATCTGATCTTTTCAAATCCGAAGACACTTTCATATGTATCCTAGATCGGATACATATCCAATTCGTGGCCATGCGACCTTAATGTGACGCTCAGATCGGAATTCAGGTGCTTTTTTTTACACTGCACGTGCGCCATCATTCAGCGTTACCATGGCAGCAGCGCCGAACAGAAGTTAAAGCCTGTAAACGGTGGAAAAGCAGCTCATCTCACCTTTTTCTCCTTCGTCTCGCTCTAATAATGAAGCTGAGAGCTGATCAGAGTTAATTATCTTCTCAGTGAAGCTCGTTCTGCTTGTTAGTTTGTGCTGATGATGAACGTGATTCATTCACGTGACGTTACTGAGTAGGATGAGCTCATGAGGGTCATTTCAGGACGCCGGTTCATCACATTAATGACAGATTTGAGTCACTTACCTAAACGACCATCGTGTCGGAGAGATCGGATTAGAGCAATGAGGCTGGTAATGTGAACGTAGCCTATGTTATCCCATTCGTGAGAAATTAGTTCTACCACCAAGATCAAGTAAATGATTCCAAAGCATCCACTGTTTCCTGATTTGGAAAATGTTTAATATGGATATGCACGCTAAAGACTAAATAAAGTGACAGTGATCAAAGAACTATGCCTGGAAAATCCACCAAATAGAAATGTGATTTTATTAGAAATTTATCAGAACACTGGTAAAAAAAAACAGTAATAATTCGGTCTGTAATTCTCACAAATAGTTGCTGTAAAAGAGGAAAATACACCAGGACATCAAACAGGACTCTGAATAGAGCTTCTGATTATTTCTCACTTTTAGCTCATTGAAAAAGTAGAGAAATTCGGACAAAACTCCATCCATACCACATCTGAGCTTCTTAACAGAAGAGGACTGATTTCATTATGAACTGAATTTGACAGAAAGTTATTTTGGAATGTTTTATTTTCTTTTTATGCTTAAGTTGCATGACTGACCATGTATTGGTCTGAATGCCACTGCTGAGTCTCTGTTACCTTTAACCTTAGTCCACATGACTAACCATCAGTGCAATGCTGACCCTCGTCTAGCTCTGTACTCGAAACAGTTATTGATTGGAGGGCTTAATTCTGTGTCTGCTGGCTACAACAGAGGTGAATCATTAACAACTGCATTGTATAAAGCTTGTTTGTCATAACTGTCCACTTAGGGTGGGACTTGAGAGCTTCCAGTATCCTGTGGCCTCCTGACTCTCTCTGTTGGGCAGAGATGTGAAACACTGTGCATGTGCTGTAATGTGTACAGGTACATTTTTGCCATGTTTGTTTGATATTTTTGAAAAACACTGATGGAAAAGTCTTACTGTACTATGGTTACAGGAGGAGATTTTGAATCTTACACTCATCTGGCTGAAGACATTAGACATTAGAATTAGACATTAGAATTAGACAAGCAAGAGTTCTACAGATATTTACAAATTAGGCATTATAATAACAAAGTGAAACTGAAAATTACTCATATACCCCAAAGATAATCTGATGTGGGCTTCTACTAATATCTACAAGCTGAAGGATAATAACTGATTTCAAATTTATAAACACAGTAGTATTCAAATAACCAAAGGAGACTATAACCTATAGACCATCATCTGTAAAATAAAATGGGAAAAAGGATGTAACATATTAGTCTTGGACGAAGACTGGGATAACTTCTGCAGATGGACAGTTTTAACATCATATTCAAGATTATTAAGAGAATTTATTTGGAAAATTTAAATTGGAATTGGAAAAAGAAGAGCTCTCATCGACAAAGGAAGTCACCAGGGACAGTGTTGGAGACGGTGTGGTACTCAAATGGCTGATATTTTTCATATTTTTTGGGGATGTCCAGTAATTCTGTCTTTTTGGCAAGAGACTGGAAATGCTATTGGGGACCTATTTGGAATTATGTATTTTATGTGAGTCTTCATGGGTGAATCTTTATTTTGGGAAAAATTCTCCAGTTAGTAGGGAAGAATGATAAATACCTGCCTAAAATATTATTGGTAGCTAGTAAAAAGGCCATAAGTGGATGCAGCAGTGGCTTGAAATTGTCCATGAAATTTACTCAATGGAAAGACTTACATTTATGTTACAACTCAGGATGGAATGTTTTACAAAATACTGGAAGAAATGGATCCTAAAATACCCCAGTAGGGGAACTAGTGTGAGCAATTAAGAAGATATCACTGCTGTCAGAAGAAAACCTCGTGTCTCCAAATTGGTAACTTTACAGGAGAAGGAAAAAACCTCCTTTACTTTTAATGTAAGTCAATAGAACCAGTCATTTTGGGCCGTTTATTTTGGTCCATTCTTAATGATATTTACACATAATATAAAGGGCAGTCATTTTCAAATTATGTCAAAAACTGAAAAACGACAAAAAATGGAGATATGAGGTTTCCTTCCGACAGCAGTGATTTATAAATGGTAATATGTAGGCATTTTTATATTATGCATTACTGTGTAGCCCTTGATGTTTGTAAAAGAGTCCTGGAGGATTTGGATACTTAAACCAAACACAATGTAAATAAAATGCAAAACGAAACTCATAATGTAACTGTTTTAAACAATGTAGTCATAAGTACATATACGTTAATGTTAAACGCACTAACATCGAAGGTGTTGTACTTACAGGTCCTGCAAGCTTTGCAAACAGACTCCTGAAGCCGGCGTCCACTTCACTGTCTGAAACAGTTTCCTGGAAACAAACGGTTCAAGCTTGTTTACAGCCATGTAAGGCGAAGCAATTTCTTGCGTTTATATGTGGTTGTATATAAAGTTTGGGCAATCCTGGTCAAATGATGCCTTTTGTGGTGTGAATAAGTGAACACAGACCACAGAGAACATAATTCTGCACATTTTAATATAATAATGTTTTATTATATTTTTGTATTTATATTTATTTTTATAAAACAAAGAGTTTCGGTCCTAAAATATGATTGGCCGAGCCACATTTGAAGCCTATGACAAATCCACGATATACCCACATCTATGACCACCTCACAACAACTGAACTCTATCACTGCGCCATGTCATGAAAATCCCTTCTGCTGTTAATGGATTAATCTTTGACTCTAATGCTGAGCACACGGAGCACCGAGTGAACTGATGAAGTAAGAACCTGTTTTTGTTTTAAACTGAGGCCTGAAAACTTATTTTCTTATCTAGAACTGGGCTGGTCAGCTAGCTAACAGGCTAAAAGATAGTTTACAGCCTAAACAGCTCCGTTACTAATATTACAAGCTTGAATTGAAGCACTTACAATATGATTAACTGCAAAACAGCAGCATAAAAGAATCTCAGCTTAATGGCTTACATGCCTTTAATGTCCGTGTTTCAGTCAGAAGTAGTATCAAACCCAGGCTGAATCCCAAATGGCTCTGTACTCCCTAGCTAAATAGTGTGCGCTGTAAGTTTTGAAATTCTAGCTACTGCAGCCAAATAATGCACTGTTTGTTGAGTATGAATGTGGATGAATCCCAAATGACTATATTTTAGCAATATTTTGCATTGCTGTGCTGCAGGAGTCAGTATTCAAATTCTTACGTAGTGCACTATGTAGAGGGGCGCCTACACTTTGGCAGAAGACGACTCGATGGTAATTTGCTGGCCAAAAAGTATGTATAAAGCAAAGGTTTTTGCAGTAAACAGTGCCGTGTTATGATATGTTCATTGTAATACAAAAAAAAAATGTAAAAGTTGAAATTATCACAGTAAACAATGTTGGGCGGCTCAACGTTCTTCTCCTCATTCAATGGTCCACGGTTGCTTGTCGACGATACTTTAAAGAAACTACCTTTCTTGGCGGAATACTTGTTTATGTTGATTATTAATAACAAATAATTTTCTAAAACATTGTACAGTTTAAAGTATTTTATGTTGGCCTCCACTTTGCATTGTGCCTAAGAACCCCCCTTTCCTGTGGTAAAATCGCAGTAACGCACGGCCCCTCATGGCTTATTGCTTTAGGTTTATTTGCTAAATTTAAAATGTATCCTGTGCAAAAATGTTGCCACATTTTATATTTTGTTTTATTTTTCTCAATTTGTTAAACTCAAATGAAGAGAAATTAACTACATTTAAATTAAAAAAACTAAAATAAAATAAAAGCATTAAAATGCCATATTTATGCTTGTTCACTGTTAACTAATTTTCACTTCAACAAAACATGTAATTTGACCAGAGGCACTCAAACTTTTGCATATGACTGCACAGCACATTGCATGAAACTTTAAAACCACATAAAAAAAAAAAAAGAAGTGTCACAAGTGGAATATAGTACAGTTACAGACTGTTAGTACAGAATTGATCAGCCCACCTCTATACAATGCATCACTGGTCAGTTTCTGACCACAAGAGCGCTGCTGAGCAGCTATTATGTGGGCGGTGGCCCAATCTCAGCACAGCGATGACACTGACATGATAGTGGCATGGCAGCACATGTGGCTCGCTAACTGTACTCTAAAAGGTAGAGGTTTCTAAAGACCAGGCAGAAACTACGCCAATTAGCCAAAACATTATGACCATATATATTGTTGGTCCTCCATGTGCAACCAAAACAGCTCCAATTGGCCAAGGCATGGACTCTCCAAGACCTCCGAAGGTGCCCTGTTGTATCTGGCACCAAGACGTTAGTAGCAGACACTTTAAATTCTGTAAGTTGAGAGGTGGAACCTCTGCAGATCAGACTTGCTATTCCAGTACATCCCAAAGATGCTCGATCGGACTGAGATGTGGGGAATTTGGAGGGCAAAACCTTGAACTCTTTGTCACGTTTCCTAAACCACTTGCGAACGATGTGTGCAGTGTGGCAGGGTGCTGAAAGGGGCTACTGCCAGCAGGAAACGCCACTGCCATGAAGGTACCTGTTCCACAACAATGTTTCGGTTGGTGGCACATGTCAAACTGATGTCCACATGAATGCCCAGAACATCACATTCCCTTCACTGGCTTGTCGTCTTTCCACAGTGCATCTTGGTGCCATCACTTCCCCAGGTAAAGAAAATGGGACTCACTGGACCAGGCAACCTTCTTCCATTGCTCCAAGATCTAGTTCTGACATTCTTGCGCCCACTGTAGGTGCTTTCGATGGTGGACAGGGCTTAGCTTGGGCACTCTGACTGGTCTGCGTCTACGCAGCCACATATGCAGCAGGGTGCAATGCACCAACACACTCCAGAAGAGGGCCTTATGAACCCAACACCCTTTACCGTTGTTGGCAGGTACTCGCCACTGCTAACTGGGAGCGCCCCACAAGCCTTGCCACTCTGACCCAGTCATCTGGCCATCATAGTAGCTCATTCAAAAAGATTCACCCGATTTCAAAGCGCAATATTTTTGCAATCGTTAGGCGCCTAGGAACCAATCACAATCTAATTGAAAGACAGGGTCATAGAGTTTCTGACTGTCAGTTTAAGATGGCCCCCATCAGTCTGCGAGGAGATGAGACCCCTGAGCAGAAAGCGTTCTGCATGCTCCACTTCAATAAGAGTGAATCCGTTATAACTGTGCAGTGTGATTTTCGTTGGTAGTGAATCTCCAACAGCTCAGAGCGTTCGGCGTTGGTTCCACAACACTGGATGATCTCCAAAATCGCACTGAATAAGCCGTAAGTGCAGAGACACCCGACATGCTCAATCGAGTATGAGATGAATTTGACTATGGCGTTGATGTTGTCTGTGCAGCTGGAGGAGGTTCTTACTGAGCGCTTGTACAATTACATAATAAACTTTATGCTCAGTTAAACCATTTGCAGTTTACTGCACTGTTCTGTAATGATTTACAAGTGAAATCATTTTGAAATTGGATGAATCTTTTTGAATCACGCCGTATATCCCAGATCTTGACCATATGCCACTGTTAACAGTTAATGAAATGTTATTTACTTCATCTATCAGGGGTCAATATTTTGGCTCATCTGTGTACATACAGACACGACTGTGAGCTTTCGTGTGGGACACTTTTGCACAAAAAGCAAAACAAACAAATGTCAAACTTACATTGTCTAATTTAGCATCAACAGGATCATCACAGGGCCTATAGGGGAAGAAAAATACCATAGTGAACATATATTTATTCACAACTTCCTGTGTTATTAACATCATCACTGATGAATTTTATTTAATTAAAAATATGAATGTTCACAAAATTGTCCACCACCCCAAGCATCCTTGGGCAAGACTCCTAACATGACATTTTTTACCATTATGGAGTGTCTACAGGTGTCATTTAAGTAGTGTCAAATATTTACCTATAACAATGTCGATTTTTACAAAAATGATAATGTATGATTTAATTAGATCATAGCTGTGTAAAAATCAGCGACCCAGCTTTAAAATACATGTGTAATCAAAACTGACCTTTTACCTCATTTTACCAGCTCATATGATACGAGTTGTGCTTAATATTATAAGGGAGGGCAATACGGCCAAAAATGTCACAATGCTTGACTTTTTTTGAGTCTGCGCTGTTGATCAGCCAAAGCCCACATGAAGTCACATAATCTCAAATAGACTTGCTTATGTGGCTTCAAACACTGCATGTCGATAAAAATTGACAAAATGTAGTTTAATAGTTTAACAGTCCATTTGTAAAAATGTCTTTTTTGCAAGTATTGTTTTAACCTGGCCTGCAGATTTCTGTATGTTTGCTACTAGAACACTAGATTGGACTCAGAATAGTTACTGTGTTTCGGTCTGCTTCTCGGAGAAGACACGCAGGCAGAAGTCTCCATCCTTGTTAGGCTCAAAGGTGGAGGGGACGACGAGGTATTCTCCCGGAGGCAGCCTGAACCTGGTGCTGACCTCTCTCAGGTTGATGAAGGTTTCAGAACGAGCCTTCTGAGCGTGCGTCAGGAAGAAGTTCTTATCCAGATGCACGTCCCTCTGGCCTCGAAACTGTAATTAAAAGAGCCAATCAGAAGGCGGGAAAAAGCAAGGCCTGAAGTGATTTAGCATGAACTCAAATGTGCTTGGGTGCTGGATTCACTCTTACCTGTGGAGGCACCTGTAGAAAAAAAAAAGCAGAAGTGTCAGATTCATATATGTATAACATATTTTATTTGAAACACTACGTTAGCCTTGTCAGAAAACAAACGTCTTGGGCTAAGCAACTACATTTGTGGTAAAGTAAAAACTGCGTACATCTGATTTTTCGTCAAACTATTCCTAAAGTTCTTCCAGCTCAGAAGATGATGAGGTGTGCTGAGAAGAATCAGCTTTAACAGACAGGGTGCTCCAGGGCTGGGAGTAAGAAATATCATTCTCTGACCTCATAGATGGCGTAGCCGATGGTGTGCATGTCCTCCCCCTCCTTTCTCAGCCGTCGCCGGTTCTTCTGGATCAACCCCACTACCAAGCTGCAGCCTGTTTCGTTGTCGTTGGGGTCGTCATCCTCTTCGTCCAGCTTTATCACAAACTGAGGGTTCATCCAGAATGTTTCTGCAGAAGGGGGGCAAGTTAGACAGGGGAAATTAGAAACCCAGACAAAATGACTAGCTCAGAGGTAGACCTCCTGATGGATTCGGTGGGAACCCTAATCGGGCACACCTGTGTTTAATAGCCAGAGGTTCCCGAATAAAAAATACTCAGTCTATAGCGGTTTAGCTACAGTGGCTTAGCCCCGTCTACTCAGCCTACAGTGGTTTAGCCCAGTCCACTCGACCTACAACGGTTTAGCCCCGTCTACTCGGCCTACAGCGGTTTAGCCCCGTCCACTCGGCCTACAGCGGTTTAGCTCCGTCTACTCGGCCTACAGCGGTTTAGCCCAGTCCACTCGACCTACAACGGTTTAGCCCTGTCTACTCAGCCTACAGCGGTTTAGCCCCGTCTACTCGGCCTACAGCGGTTTAGCCCAGTCCACTCGACCTACAACGGTTTAGCCCAGTCCACTCGACCTACAGTGGTTTAGCCCCGTCTACTCGGCCTACAGCGGTTTAGCCCCGTCTACTCGGCCTACAGCGGTTTAGCCCCGTCTACTCGGCCTACAGCGGTTTAGCCCCGTCTACTCGGCCTACAACGGTTTAGCCCCGTCTACTCAGCCTACAGCGGTTTAGCCCCGTCTACTCGGCCTACAGCGGTTTAGCCCCGTCAACTCGGCCTACAGCGGTTTAGCCCCGTCCACTTGACCAACACAAACAGGGCTCATTTACATATATCAGTCTTAAAGGCACAGTTACAAAAACAGTCTGTTTAAGTTTAAGGGATAAAGAGAGGTTGGAATTGGTCATGTAAAAATAAATTCTCATTATTGTTGGTTCATTAAAGCACAATGTGAGGATATGTAGGATACACTTTAGGATAAAGGCTCTTTTAGATAATGGTCAATGATATAGGAAATAATTAAAAAATTGCATCTCTTGCGACAGAGAAATGTAACACTTATTCGTAGCCTAGCATTGCCTCAACATCTGCTCTTATAGTGTACAATAAATATGTAATCAAATATCAGTTTTAGTCATGGGCTGGAGGTTAGGGAACCAACCCTGTGACCAGAAGGTCGCCGGTTTGATCCCCTGAGCCGACAGTACATGACTGAGATGCCCTTGAGCAAGGCACCTAACCCCCAGCTGCTCCCTGGGCGCTGCAGATAGGGCTGCCCACTGCTCCGGGCAAGTGTGCTCACTGCCCCCTAGTGTGTGTGTGCTCACTAGTGTGTATGTGGTGTTTCACTGCACAGATGGGTTAAATGAGGAGGTGAAATTACCCCATTGTGGGACTAATAAGGGTCACTTAATCTTAAATATCAGTCAAATCTAAACTCCTGTCCAATTCCACTAATGTTATTATGTTATTGCTCATCCTGGTACATTCTGTTCACAAAGGTAACGTTGAAGATCAGTGGAAATCATAGACATAGATATGTTTCCTGGTGATTAACACTAAAGAAAACAATGTCAAATTCATTCAGTAATAACAACATTAACATTCAGCACTGATGAAACTAATGGCACAGCTATGACGGGGTACACACACCGATCAGGCATAACATTATGACCACCTCCTTGTTTCTACGCTCATTGTCCATTTTATCAGCTCCACTTACTATATAGGTGCACTTTAGTTCTACAGTTACAGACTGTAGTCCATCTGTTTCTCTGATACTTTGTTAGCCCCCTTTTACCCTGTTCTTCAGTGGTCAGGACCCCCATGGACCCTCACAGAGCAGGTACTATTTGGGTGGTGGATCATTCTCAGTACTGCAGTAACACTGACGTGGTGGTGGTGTGTTACTGTGTGTCCACCAACCAAAAATATCCAGCCAACAGCATCCTGTGACCACTGATGAAGGACTAGAGGATGACCAACACAAACTGTGCAGCAGCAGATGAGCTATCGTCTCTGACTTTACATGTGCAAGGTGGACCGACAAGGTAGGAGTGTCTAATAGAGTGGACAGTGAATGGACACAGTGTTTAAAAACTCCAGCAGCGCTGCTGTCTGATCCGCTCGTACCAGCGCAACACACACTAACACACCACCACCACGTCAGTGTTACTGCAGTGCTGAGAATGACCCACCACCCAAATAGTACCTGCTCTGTGAGGGTCCATGGGGGTCCTGACCACTGAAGAACAGGGTAAAAGGGGGCTAACAAAGTATCAGAGAAACAGATGGACTACAGTCTGTAACTGTAGAACTACAAAGTGCACCTATATAGTAAGTGGAGCTGATAAAGTGGACAATGAGCGTAGAAACAAGGAGGTGGTCATAACGTTATGCCTGATCGGTGTATAACACAATACGTTCTTGCAAACGGTTAGTTTATTTTACCAGTATTAAAACTGCAGGCCTAATAAACCTACAGCAGCAACCTGTGCTGCACGATTAGTGGAAGTTTCCATGCACAAAGCGCCAACATAACATGTTTGTAGGAGAACCGGCTGATCCAGATCTACCACCTCGCTTATTAGCTCACAACAGTCTAAAGCTGTACTGAAGGAAAAAAACCAATAAAGTCATCTGAAAGATTGGCACAGTATAATTTATAAAGAGAAGCTAGTAATAGGGTGTGTTTCTAATAGGAAGAGGATTAGTTTTTATTCGTTTTAGAAAAGAAACACACAAATATTTATTCAGAAGTTAGTTGACTGAGTTGTTCTAAGTGGTCAACTGTTTCCAGTGGCCACTTTCATGAATAACATGCTTTGACATGCTGACAACTTACATACAGTGCAACAATCTGGTACAGTTAGTCAGCTGACTTCTGTGTACCATCCTGTGCAAAGTGTACTGACCTCATCTACCAGGTCTCACTGGCCCATTTGCGCTGCATCTTTTCATCAATTTTTAAACTCCCCTTTTGGAAACTCCTGTTTTTTCCCCCACTTATTTTCTTCTGACATCCCCCCACCTTACTGAACAGTGGAAATTAAATACATAAAGGGTGGTCTCTGACTTTAGGACAGTACTATGTAACAGTGGAGCTAAAAATGTTGGGATTAAAACTTGTAAAAAGTGACCTATTACTTAAGTGGCCAATGAGTGAATAAAAAGTAAAATAAGCAGACTAAAACCTTTTTGGTTTGACTAAAACTGCAAAGGGGACAACTGTTAGATGGCCCTCCAAACGGAGGTTTTTCAGAGACTCACTCCAAACAGAGTGTTATTAGAAAAACAGAAAAAAACAGCAATATGGTGACACAAGAGACCAAAGAAACCCACAAATGTGAGAATTTTCTGTTAAAAAAATTACAATAACCACTGTATTATCTTAATTTAATGTCATTTCAGTGTATTATGGTCGTTTTCTTCATAGCAAGAATAAAAAATCGCTAGTAGTTTGCTAACTAGCTAACTTTCCCGTTCCACCTTAAATAATCCAGCAGTTCTGACGCCTGAAGGACCAGAATGTAACTGCTGCTCCATTTAAGGTGGAATGGGAAAATTTGAACAAGAAGCTGGTGAATATCTGACTTCAGCTTCATATCACTGAAGAATCAGGGGTGGGTGATAATAAATAATTGCCCCCCTCTTTGAAGTCATATGATGCCCTAAATGTAACTAAAGCCCAGCAGTGAGGAGCTGAACTTTACCCTCCTCTGCTGTCACTGCAGACTGGCAGGGTCGCCTACAGAGCAGCGCTGGTAGCTGATAATGAAGTGATGCTCTTTTTATTTGAGGAACATTTCAACCACTACCCCTGTAACTCAGTTCCAAGGGGCAAGGAGACCCTCGAAAACAAGGGGTAAAAAGTAGAAATAAGAAATGCGACTGGGCCCAAGACTAAACTACTTTTTGATCTACATTAGGTTTCCCAGGGGAGGTCGTGTAATGTGATTTGTAAGGGATTCAACTGGCCAGAGTAAACTATCTGTGCAATTCCCACAAACCGATAGATAGGATAGAATGAAAAGTCAAAACCCAGATGTGCATGTCGGCATTACACCACTCAATAACAACATGGAGCATGGCTGTGTCTGTTTGCCCGTTTTACTACTGCATTAGAGTGAGGTCCATTTGAACAGGGCTGCTATTGCTTAGGGAGCTCCAGGTTTAACCAGTTACAGAAGGCCATTCACTCCAAAATGATTACTTGCTGGTAATCTAGAAAATGGTTTAAGTCTAAATCTAAATGAGTGGCAATATGAACGCTGTCTCTTACGGGGGTTGTTCCTGCAGCCTCCTGCGGTGGACCCCCTCCTCCAGGTGCTGCTGTAGTTGCACACGCTCCAGGGCTTGACGGAATCACCGGTGATCGCGTCCGGGGTCAGCGTGCAGATTTCAATGCGAGAGTACTGTCGCGCGAACTCTGAGAACGCCATCCTGAACACAAACACGTATACAACATTGTAATATATTGAAAAGTATCATGCAGCGTTTGCAGCATAATTATTCTGCATTTTGTTTCATAAAATGAAACCATCACATATTTAGATTTAAAATAGCATTTTTACTTTCACATGAAAACTTCTCCTCTTTCTCCCGCAGAGCTATTTATAAATAATAGAGCTGTGGGCAGATCTGGTTATATCATATTACATGTCATATTGTAGGATTGAGTGCGTATATTTCCATATGCATTACCAAAATTCTCCATCTTCTGCACTGGCACTCGGCCGTTCTGAAGGATCCACGTAGTTCCATTCAGACGAGCTGCAAAGACAGGAAAGAATCACAGAATCACACGTTTGTTATTATTTTGCATGTCATGTAATGCATTATTTACTGTAGCAAAACAAAGACAGGAAGCAGCATTGGGTGGTCATATGGCCAATGCTGGTGGCTACTGTTATACAGTACCCGTCGCTCCAGGCTCCAGTCCACTCCACCTGACCCCAGGGGTTCCTCATCCGCACCAGCTTTTCCAGCCCGCCGCGGTAATGCACCTTAAAGAAACATAAAACAGGCTCTTAGGCTAACATTATAAACCAGAAGTGTCTGGTCTGGGGGGCCTAGATGTTCTCACTTGGATGTCAGACCCCCCTGACAGCTTCTCCAGTACCAACAAAACTGTTCTTAAAAGGAAAAAAGGATGAAAGTCACTAAGTTCTTGCACGCTTATGTCTTTATTTCAAACTTAAATAAAAGCGACCACTAAAACGCTCCTTAGATCATCACAAGTAGTACCTGCTCTGTGAGGGTCCATGGAGGTCCTGACTACTGAAGAACAGGGCAAAAGGGGGCTAACAAAGTATCAGGGAAACAGATGGACTACAGTCTGTAACTGTAGAACTACAAAGTGCACCTATATAGTAAGTGGAGCTGATAAAATGGACAATGAGCGTAGAAACAAGGACATAATGTTATGCCTGATCGGTGTATATATATATATATATATATATATATATACACACACTGCGATGGACTGCCGACCTGTCCAGGGTGTATCCTGCCTTCCGCCCAATGACAGCTGGGATAGGCTCCAGTGTGTGTGTATATATATATATATATATATATATATATATATATATATATATATATATACACACACATATACGCACACATATAAAAACACAAACAATATATATAATACCTGCTATCCTAACAGATTACCATCATTTTCATTTTCAACTGAATGAAGGTGAATTGGCTTTTAAGTGTCCCGGCTAGTTTCTGTTTGTACCTCGACAGCTCCTGTGAGAGAGTAGGCGTGTCCCTTGACCAGCTTCTGACGGGTGATCGCCTCTGAATCAGCAGCACTCGTGATCTAGAAACGCATGAACACAAACACCACATGAATAGTTCATTCAGACTAGGCATGTGAAAGCCATCCAATGAGCAGTGAATTCAGTGGAATGTCTCACGTCTATGGAGCAGCCCAGCAGAGCTCCGGACTCCAGGGCCTTTTGGATGATCTGGAAGATGTTGGCAGGAGCTTTCCTCAGCTCGTAGGACTCAGCAATGCCGCCGGTGAAGTCCTCGAAGCCCTCGGTGGTGGAGCCTCCAGACAGAGCCTCATAGCAGCCGTTAACCCTGGAGTACACAGCTAAGGTCAGCGGGGCTCAGGATTGTAGATCATATTCATTAAAACCAATAAGTGAAGGTGACTATTGTCCAAATCATATGGGCAACATGTTTTGAGAGTCCACTTTGTAGATGTTGGATGTGACTTGCATCAAGTCAAGAATCTTGGCATAACAACTGATTCTGGTATGAATTTCAGCAGCCATGTAAAAGCAGCCTTTTACCATCTCAAGAACATAAAGTTTAGGAATTTCATGTCACAGCAAGACCTAGAAAAACTAACTCATGCATTTATCTCCAGCAGGCTGGACTACTGTAATGGTCTCTTCACTGGCCAAAACCACAAACAGCCAAAGCTTCAAAACGCAGCTGCTAGAATGCTTATGAGAACCAAGAGATCCGAGCACATCTCTACAGTCCTCCACTCACTGCACTGGCTACCAATTAAGTACAGCACTGACTTTAAAGTGCCTTTAATTGTATATAAACCACTGAAAGCACCTGGACCAAAATACACTGCTGATCTGCTGAATGTATACAAACCCAACAGAAGAGGCACAAATCTGATTTTTTGCCCTAATGTGACTCAGATCTGATGTTTTCAAAATCAGACTTGAGCCACTTTCACATGTGGTCCTAGATCGGATACATATCCGATTTGTAACCGTGTGACCTTAATGTGACGCTCAGATCGGAATTCACATGTTTTTTCTCCACTGCGCCATCATTCAGCGTTTCCATGGCAACAGCGCCGAACAGAAGTTAAAGCCTGTAAACGGTGGAAAAGCAGCTCATCTCACCTTTTTCTCCTTCGTCTCGCTCTAATAATGAAGCTGAGAGCTGATCAGAGTTAATGATCTTCTCAGCGAAGCTCGTTCTGCTCGTTAGTTTGTGCTGATGATGAACGTGATTCATTCACGTGACGTTACTGAGTAGGATGAGCTCATGAGGGTCATTTCAGGACGACGGTTCATCACATTAATGACAGATTTGAGTCACTTACCTAAAAGAGTGTGAACCATCGTGTTAGAGAGATCGGATTAGAGCAAAAAAATCGGATTTGAGCCACGAGGCCGGTAATGTGAACGTGGCTAAAATGTTCCTCTTAAGTTTAATCAATCTTTGAAGCTCTTTTAAGAGCTTGCTAGCATGAGTATCCCACAGACTGGTTAACAGCTTAGATGTTGGTATTACTAAAAAGCAGAAAGCAGTAACTTTGGTGGTCCTCCTCACTGACGGTGCTGTGGTACTTCTTATGCACTTTTTATGTCTTTGTAAAAATCCTAGCAAAAGACTTTTTAAAGCACTAGATTTCAGAAAGGTCATGTATTATTATATAATGCTCTTATTTTCCTGTTTGTGTAAAGCACTTTGAATTGCCACTGTGTATGACAGGTGCTTTACAGATAAACATGCCTTGCCTTAGATTCAACTACATATCTATTAAAATGGGACTTCCACTGATTTTCCAAAATAAAATGCACCTGCTCAGAGTGGTTTGATGTGAAATGCGCCATTCTAGAAAGTCAGAATTGTTCACAGGCTTGGTGATGGGAACCAGACGCCAAAAGCATTTCACGCCTCTAAAAGCTCCTTCACAGGAAACTATTACACAAAATTGGTTTATGAATATGTTGCGTAATGCCTGAGACAAATGTATTTTTTATTATTTTTTTTTAACTACCACTATTTTACCACTTACAATATTACACAAAAAGACTTGTAGGTTCATTGGCTGTTGTCGATAGTAATTAAAACGGCCTTATTAGTGTTGTAGTTAGTTTCAGCATTTGTAGGTAAACTAAAGGGGATCACAGAATAAATAAGGCAAATGAACTAAGTTGCCTAATTTATATTTCTAACTTGTCCATCTTCACATAGCAGCATTTAACTAACCAGCTAAGACATCAGCAGTCAGATCCAGCTTCCCAGTTAAAGTGTTTTGATAAAAACTCTGACTCAATCTTACAAGCAGAGCGTGTTCTTTAGTAATGAGAAGCTTTGTGGTCAGTAAAGCTCCTGAGGTTAAACTGCAAACAGTAGCGTTTACACAAACAAACTCACTTAGCGTAGGCCTTCTCCAGCAGGGCGCTCCAGAACTCGTTCCCCTCTTCAGAGTGGACAAACAGCAGCTTCCCATCCTTCACCGGCAGCCGGTCATCGATGACGACGTCCACCCACTCACCAAACTGCCAGAACTAAAGGGGTGAGGGCAGAAGGGCTATTTAAAACTCTGAATCGGAGTGTGTTGCAGAGCACTACACGTCAAACCAAACAATTAACATTGTCAAAAAAAATGAAACCAACATCTGTCAGATGTTTTAACACAGGGCTACACGTACAATTTTTGAGCACTGGTACTATAGAGTTGCAACTATTGTAGTGCAAATTAGCACTTTTTTTAGAGATTAAAAACTACAATCCTGGGCAAAAAAGGATTTCAGACTAGGCAAACTTGTGCAAAATGGCAAACCATTAAGATTTTTAATGGTCTTGATAACAAATCGTTAACTGAATAAATAAAGTAGCTTAGTACAGAATGTCTTTTCTCTTTGGTTTTGTTTACATGTTGAAGTCATGTGGGTAAACGTGCAGACAGACTTTTACAGAAAGAGTCAGTATGGTTCCACTCAACACTGAGGGCTTCAAATAGTTCAAAAGCACCGCCAGGCTAGTCTTTAATGTGAGATCAAATATCCTCTATAGCAGAGGTCACTAATAGGTGGACGGCGGTCCGTGTCCGGTCCCAGGCGCTGTCCTATGCGGACCTGGACCTATAACTGATAAACTGTGAATAATAATTTAATTTTGATGGGGTCGTCCTATTTTAAGTGGCGTAACTTCTAGTCATTACGGTCCCGGGAGACTCACAGACCAATCACATGCATTGTACATATCACATGTGACGCTACTCAGCCAATCAGATCCGTGCATTACGGTGAGCACTGAGACTCGAGTGAGTGACTCACACACACAGGAGGGAAGAGGCGAGAAACAGCAGTCAGAGAAGAAAGTGAGCCAGATTATTTTACACGTCGTGCTCTAAAAAGAGAAAACTGACAATAAATATTGTTTAAATGTTACTGAATTGTACTTTATTTGATTTGATATTCAGTTGTTGACTGTATAAGATGTTGATATACCTGCTAGGTTACTTCAGTAAACAGTATATGGCACTGAATTAGATTAGACATTATGATGTTCCAGACCTTTGCTTGAGGATTTTTTTTTTAACTGGACCTTTTTGAATTGTAATTAAATAACCCTGCTCTATAGGCTTTAAACCTGGACTCTGAAGAGGCCAAAACCATCAGTAAAAACCATAAGTAATTTATATTTGGCCCATTTTTTTGCACACAAAATGCACCTGTATTAATCTCAAGTGGAACAACTTGTCATTCCGATTCAGTTTCATTAGGGATTCCCCACTAGGGGGCGCTATTAGCGCCAGTGCGGCATGGCATTGGAAGCAGCAGTAATATGATGGTAATGAAGCAGCGTTAGGACTCTGGTACCTGAAAGTGAAAGATGCCGGCGTAGCTAGAACCGAAATCCTGGTTGCTGGGGACCACCCTGGCCAGCACGTCTTCATTCAAAGTGAGAGAGGCGATGGCCGCTAGCAGCCAGCAGTCCCCTATAAGAGAGAAAGGTAGAGAGACATTCTCAGCTCAGTCATACAGACTGCATGGACACATTTTCCTGACTTGCCTACATTAATCAGGTCATGATATAAGAAACTCCAACACCGAAGATCCTGATGTGATCTGACCAAACTGACAACACTGATACCCACTGATACTGATATGCGTCCTCTGCCTGGCTGACTTTCGCTTACGGTGGTCCAACAAGAGTAACAGGAAACTGAGCTGTACAGTTTTAAAGAATCATGTTTTCTGATAAACATTTGAGATGTTTCCACTTTTGAACGGCAGCCTCTATCAGCAGAGCCCCTAGTGGCCATTATAATCATTATAATTACTATAAATCATAAAAATATTATTCCTATAACTCCAGGAGTTCCCCAGGAGTCGTGTCACTGTGAAGAAAAGCACATGAGTCCACTGTGTCTTTCAGTTATCAGAGATTTTCTCATTTAGCTCATGATTTCATATGAAGCTTTTAGCTGAAGTCACTGGTGTGACCCACTTTATTCTGAGGTAATCGTGAAAAAATAGAATATAAATGGATTAAATTACATATTTTAGTGGATGTTCCATGATTGACAATGTGTGGTTTGATGCTCTTATTAGCAGTTATTTTGTGAAAAGCACTTTTCATTAAAAATGTCTCTGGTGTTACCTTTATTAGGTGTAACACCAGTGACAGAAATGGACGTTTCTGTAGAATGACCCCTAGTTCAACCTCCAAAACAGGCAGAAATTAGCATTTTGCTACATCTTTTATATTTCAGGTTTTCCCATCTCAGTCTTTACTTTTAGACCCTGTTTAGTCAAATGAACAATTCTTGGACACTAACGTGCTTCGAAATGTGAGGAATGCTCCTTAAACTTCTAGGAAACCTGATAAAAAACAGTGTGTTAGGATTTTTAGGTGCCCATCGAATCACAGCAGCTGAGGTGGAGCAGAACAATGTGTCATACCTCCTCTGATGGTTAGAGCTCATTACATCACAGCAGAGCTTCTTTGGCTCACAGAATGCACCTTGAAGCCAAGAGGCTCATTGACCTGGAATGAATCCTGAGAACTATCCAGCTGAATACTGTGAAGATGCACTCATAGCTTGCAAAATGTCTCCTACATTTGCTAAACAGTTTACACAAACCCACAGCGACGGTCCTGGATAACCAGGTCTGCTCCAAGCAACCGACGTCGGTTCGCTTGCTTGTCCAGTTTCTGTCGAACAGCGAGGGACAGTTTCTATAATGCACAGCAATTTAAATTTGCTTCCCGCAATAAATAAGCTTGCCTTGTTTTTGGAGGAACCTTTGATTCTTCATGGATTTAATTTTAATGTTAGATAACTGCGACTAACGATGACCGCATTTACATGCACTCAATAATCCGATCATAATCTGATAACTGCAGAAAATCAGATTGTCAGTAATGCAATCAACACGTTTACACGCTTTACAGTAAGCAGATATTGGGGAAACTCCGCGTCTACATGAGTTAGGCAATAATCGGATTTCTGCTTTGCAACCAGCCAATAAACTCACAGAAGAAGACGTGACATAAACATAACATAAAACTGTTTTTTTTAACATCGCGTCACTTTACCTGAAAATATGAACATAAATCATCTAGAAGACGAACGATATTCAAATTCTTTATTTCATGTTCGGTTTCGGCGCCGCTCCGACAGTGTTTTGCTGCGTCTCGCGACATCCGCCCTCTGATCTCGCCCACGCACAGACTGAGAAATCCGAAAGAAATCAGAGTAAGAGTACATGCATCCCATCATAATCAGATTTCTGCAGTTATACGATTATTCAAATGGTCATGTAAAACACCATACTCCGATCTAGAAATCCGATAAAGAAATCTGATAAAGAGAGCTGGATTTTAGCTCAGTAATCAGATTTCTCAGTGCACGTAAACTCTTACTCTGATTTCTTTGGATTTCTCAGGCTGCGCGTGTGTGAAAACAGATGGCGGTGCCGGAAATAAGCAAGCGAGACGCAGCAAAACGCGACGCTGAAACCAAATACATGCTTGACGAAATAAAGAATTTAAATATTATTCATCTTCTAGATGATGTACGTTCATATTTTCAGGTAAAGTGGCGCAATGTTTTAAAATAAAGGCGTCATGAAGTTTGAGTTTTATGTTACGTTTACATCACGTCTTCTGTGAGTTTCTTGGCTGCTTACAAAGCAGAAATCTGATTACTGTCTGACTCATGTAGACCTGGAGTTTTCTCATTATCTGTTTACTCAAGTGCATGTAAACGCGTTGATCAGATTACTAACAAAATCTGATATTCTGCAGTTATCGGATTATTAAGTGCATGTAAATGCACTCAATGACTGCAAGCTAACTAGATAACTCTAGCAGATGGGGTGGGCTAAAATAAGCAATGACCACCAAGCATGTACAGAAGCTCATCACAAAAAATAGCATAGCATGTCTAAACCATTCTTGCATATTTGTATATATAAGGAAGTCATGTAGTAATATAAGAATGTAAATTAATGCAAATTAAGAATTTAATTCTTACTAGTAAAATTTTCATTTTTACATGTAATAATTCAATTAGAACTAGTAAAACTATTTTCTACAAGTGAAAATGACATTTTTACATGTGAAATTTAAGTTTTAACTACGAAAAATCAATTTTCACAAGTAAAAATGTGTAGTTTGCATTTTTACTAATAAAAATGTGATTCTTGATATCAAGAACTACATTTCTACATGTGAAAATTAAATTTTCTGTAGTAAAAAATTTCATTCTTAATAGTAACAATGTTTCCCCCTATAAAATGAATGGGGACACTCATGAATTATCACTAGTCAAAATTTTATTTTTACTAGTAAGATTTAAATTTTTACTAGTGGAAATTACATTTTCACATATGTGAATTAAATTCCTGATATCAAGAAAAAAAAGGATTAAAAGCTAAAACGTGTTCCCATAAGCAAGGCAATCCTTTTCACATCTACAAGTACCCCCATTATAAGATAATGTACATTTGCTCACTATAATTATGGATTAAATTCATAGGCCACCATCGTGCTTTGCATATATGGGCAGGGATGGGAATCGGGGTCATAAAGCAAACAAATCATTCTAATATTATTGTACTTCACCTTTAGTTTCTGCTAAAGCTTCCATTTGATCTACTGACCCTTACGGTGTCACAGAAACATCTGGAGGTGATTTCTGACATTTGCTGAAGGCAGAAAATTATGGGGAGTTTATGGCTGAGAAACAGAGAGAGAGAGAGAGAGAGAGAGAGAGAGAGAGAGATTTGCGTCATGGTATGAGCAGCTACTGCCTGTTTGCACAGGTATCTACTCCCACACATTCAGAGCATATCAGCAGTTATACTACTGCTGACTTCCTTCAGAACTATGCAGATTCTCTTAATGATAACTCCCCGTTCATCAGTGTGACGTACAGACATGATTCCAGAAGAGTGTGTAAATCTGTGTGGTTGGGTTATAAGAGACTGCCCCAGGATAGGTATATACCATATTGAACAAATACTGCACTGCACTTTTACTGCTGCAGATTGCGATTATTATTACGGCTTGTAATAAATTAAGAAGAGATGTGGGGAGGGTAGGGTAGGGATCCATCTTAATTGAAGGAAGAAAATGATTCATTACCCTAGTGGTATGTTTACAACTCACACCCACCCCACCCTAACCCCACCCTAACCCCACCCTAACCCACCCTATCCTAACCCCACCCTACCTAACCCCACCCTACCCCACCCTAACCCACCCTAACCTAACCCAAGGGTGGGGTTAGGATAGGGTGGTGTTAGGATAGGGTGGTGTTAGGATAGGGTGGGTTAGGGTGGTGTTAGGATAGGGTGGGTTAGGGTGGTGTTAGTATAGGGTGGTGTTAGTATAGGGTGGGTTAGGGCGGGGTTAGGTTAGGGTGGGGATAGGGTGGGGTTAGGATAGGGTGGGGTTAGGATAGGGTGGGGATAGGGTGGGGTTAGGATAGGGTGGGGATAGGGTGGGGTTAGAATAGGGTGGGGATAGGGTGGGGTTAGGATAGGGTGGGGATAGGGTAGGGTTAGGATAGGGTGGGGGTTAGGATAGGGTGGGGTTAGGGCGGGGTTAGGATAGGGTGGCGTTAGGGTGGGGTTAGGATGGGTGGGGTTAGGATAGGGTGGGTTAGGGTGGGGTTAGGGTGAGGGTGGGTGTGAGTTGTAAACATACCACTAGGGTAATGAATCATTTTCTTCCTTCAATTAAGATGGATCACTAGCCATCCAGCTCTCATAAATGAAGTTAAATGCAACAGGTGGCTAACACAGGAGGAAGGCATTGTCTAGGTAAGGGTTTGGCAACGTGGCTCTGGAGCCACATGCGGCTCTTTTACTGCCCTGTTGTGGCTCCACAGCTGAATTAGATTTGTAGGTAAAAATAAAATAATCCTCCTTTACAGTAAAATAAAGCTCTGCTGATCGTTCAACACAGTTTATCAATAAATGGTCTTAAACTCTGGAGTTAATGTAGAACTGCTAATTCACCCTGTAACCCTGAAGGCTGGAGCTTAGACTGCTGGTCACCATAGCAACACATGCAACACATCTCGCCTAGCTGGTAGTTAACGAAATGACAAACGAGAAACTGTCAAACACTAAAAAGTCACGAAGCTGAAGCTTCTCTTTCGCCAGCTTCTTGTTCGAACTTTCCCGTTCCACCTTAAATGGTGCAGCAGTTACATTCTGGTGCCTCATGCACTATTTAAGGTGGAACGGGAAAATTCAAAGAAGAAGCTGGTGAATGAGAAGCGACTTCAGCCTCGTACGTTAACGTTAGGAGACATTTTACAAGAAACTATTACAAGAACACTTTCCTGCCGGAGATGTGAGAAAAGCAGCTACAGCTGAGCTAAAGCTTAAAGCAGAGCAAAGTCGTTGTTTTGATTTATATTATATTTTTTAGCCTATATTAACACATCAGCACATACGGAGACATATTTACAGCCAAGAT